CCAGGTGCGCCTCGGGATGAACAGACCGATTGTCAATTCGACGAGAATCTCATCAAGTCTCGACCATTGCGTCGCCCCAAGTTTTCCCCGAAACGAGCTGAACGTTCGTGCCGCTAATTAGAGCCAAACCTAGAGCTCAGGTCACACCATTCAGACGAGTGCCACATTCATAGGTATCTATTAGGGCTGGTACTGAGATGCAGAAGCCCGCCGATCCGATCGAAGAAATGCGCAATGTTTGTTTCGAACAGGTCTCGGATACGACCAACCAAGTTTAGGATGAAACATTTTCTGCACAACCCACATACCTCTGATCTGTTGGCGAATAGGTGTCGGATGAGAAATGAGAAGGTTCAGAAGACATCGAGAGGGTTTTACAGGGTCCGGCCTCAGTCGACCTCTCGAGTCGGCCTAACTTTGCTCATCGAAATCGTCGAAGCGTTTCGAATTCACCTCCCGGCTTCGTATCATGTGAGGTAGAGTATAAGCTGTCACGTCACATCGGAGTCTTATCATGACTTCTCTAAGAACGATGCATGATGCGGCATCACCGAGAGAACGTACAACGACGCACTCAAGTAGCGTGTCGCCGCCGCTTCGCTTGAATTTCTAACCGATCACAAGATGCTATAAAGTTCTGCTTCAAGGGACTCCGGCTCGGCTCTTGAGACTCATTTTGGCGTGAAAACGTATCTGACGTTCGAAATTTCACTCAGGGGGTAGAATCAATGTACTTCGTCCTCCATGCAACGAAATTTGAGGCGTTTTGCGACCCGATAACTCGTGTTGTTCAGAACGGATCCAGTTGTTGAATGCACCGATGGGGAGGGGATTCACGGGGGTATCTGTCATTCCATTCCCGTGGCTATGCTTGGCGATTTTGAAGGTTTCCGGGAGCGATTCAGGATGCACCTGGAATACGCCCGGATACTGTATAAATACAGGATTTCTTCTGGAAATATTGAGTTTGTGCGATATATTTGAGAAGAGTAGCGAGGATTCAGATGGGCTCGACCGGCGGAATACAACCTATTGGGCTGCACCGGTCGATCAAGGGGCAAATTCCTTGGGTGAGATTGATGGAGATCAGATCAAAGTCGCGATGCACGGTATTTGAGATTATTTCGATCTCGAATTCATACCGAGTCGCACGACTCAACAGTGAAGGGTTTCTTCTCAAGGAACAATAATAATCGCTCCCTTCCGAATGTTCGGACAACGTGAGCTCAGCCTCCGCATAAGAGCGGTTCACAAACATTTTGCGATCGCGGAGGACGATGCTATCGGCGAGGAGCTTTTCATTGAGTCGCTTCGACCCCGATACCCCGATTTTTCGAGCCGCCGATTCAGCGGAGTTCCTGAGCGGCCTCACCAATAAACACTGAACAGTCGAATCATTTCGAATCCTCCGATATAATTGCTCCCGCTCGAATGGATACAAATCCGAGTTTGAATCATGGCCGTCTCCGATCTCTGGAGGCATCCTCATTCCACGCTGCTCCGTTTCCTCGAGAATCCGCTGAGATTTACTCTCACTGGCCACATTCTTGAAGCTGTTCTATCCGAAATCTGTGAGACTTTGATCATCCTTTGCGTTCTGTCGAGACCTTCGGTATGAAACTTTCCTGGAGCCACCGGCAGGTAGGAGAGGGGAGCAGTTCGCGGAAATACTGAATCCCACGAAGGAAATACATATATCACATATGAAGCATGCTTCCAGCGATTACTTGTTGGATCACAAAGGTCAGAAGGACTCTCAAAGGAGAGGATCGAGCACGGCTATACAAATTCAATTGAACACTGACTACATATGTATATCAAAGGCATTCGCGGGATTTGAGGTCATACTCAAATTGACGAGTTTTAACGTCAATAGAATGACATCGATGACTTATAGGGGAGTGCTGAACATGCAAGACGCCGATCGGGCTGAAACTTTGGTCATAGAATCCCGCCCCGAGAGAAGTTCAACCCTTAGAGGTGTCCATGGTCTTACCCAGTTTTCTCATGCTTAAAGGCGAATTCTCGATAATCATTCAAACACCGTCAAGGTGGCCATACGCGAATTTCCCTCTTGGAGTCTATATTCTCTCGGGGCGGGATTCTATGACCAAAATTTCAGCCCGATCGACGAGTCACTAGTTCAGCACTCCCCTTCTTAAATGAGATCAAGGTGCACGCAATTCAAGGGAAGGCTAAAGGTATGTATGTCATTTCACTGCAGCTGTAGAAAGAACTAAGATTTCGAGATTGGAATACGGGCTCTCGTCGTGAACAATCTTGACGAAAGACTGGCGTGCGTTTATGTAGTTCGTCATAAACGCGTTCAAGGAACATATGTATATTCTCGTGCAAGACCGGTTCCATGAGCTGTGGAAACATCGCAGGCCCGCATAGAATTTCATGAATACATGCGTCGGTATGACCTTGGCAGTAATTCTCCCATCGAGAGCGCTGGGGACCTCGATGGCGCTCCAAGCGAAACAACTTTAGGTGAAATGCCATACACGCTCTCATGCCGTATTATGAATCGACCTACGACCGTCCGATGCGAGCATTCGTATAGCTATCTCCTTGGCCTTTCGCCGGAAGGAGAATGAGGATCACAAACGGAGATCCCCGCGGACGAGGGCAATGACCAGAGCCTCCATCAATCCGTACAGACTTTCGCCGTCCGTACAGAGTTCAGACTTTCGCTATCATTACAAGCCGTTTACAGGCTCTTGCGCTGTCGATGGCCAAGATCCACCGCCCCCATTCGAGAGAGGAGTAGTAGGTTTGTGGAACCTTGAATCGAGATCATCATGGAATGCCTACCCTACGCTTTTTGACATTCAACCGGGTTACGGCTCTCTCTATACAAGCGAACTTGATAAATTATGAGCGCTGCTGTGATCCGATGGGGTACACTTGGGGAGACGCTCCGCCCATTAGTTCATTCGCCTTCTATGATCGCCCAGGCCATCCTCGATCTCCATTCGGAGATGATACAATGCTCGAGATTCTCGTTCTCCCTGTGCCGCAAGCCGTGAGCATTCCGAATCGTCTACTCACTCAGCCAGAGTTGGAGGTGGAGGCGCCTTCCGAATGAAGTCTCTGACACCGAGATCCCAGGACGGCCGAATCCCGAGAGTGGAGCCTCGCTCAGGAGTGAAAAAAAAGAGGCCGTCAGCTGACATCGGGACCGAAACCGAGCTTCGAAATGACTCAACCCTGAGCTTTGGGAGGTTCCTAGTCTCAAGTCTCAAGGCCTCAGAGCTTCTTCCTAGCTTCTCTTCGGGCTCGGAGCGGTATGATAATATCAAGGTCTGATCAACGATTCGGTATCATACGGACTACCCACACATAACGAACTATCTCATTCTTAATGATAATGATCAGCTCTATCACGGGAATCGATCAACTACGTATATCCTCTGTGAATACGCTGCCCATTCAGATTACCCTGATATTCAGCTGGGGGAGAATGGAACATCGTAGGATCAGAACTCTTCATAGAGGAAGTCGCGTCCACGAAGCTGAAGACGTTTCGGACACACAACATTCGAAACAATTTTTCGGGCTGTGGCATGATTTGCTGAGATGTTCCTAAATGTTGCCGAGACGGTCTTTAACGATAATTGTCATATTATATGCTTTGTTCTTATTACGGGTCGTTTCGGCCAGCACTACCGACAGCGGGGAAGAGCACGCGCTGCTCCAGTGTTCCAGAATTTTTATGAAATTTTTTGAGCCGTCGACGCTCCGACACCGCGAGCACTTGCGCACCGTGGACGTGAGCACGAGAGGCTTCGACGTTCCTGAAGTCATCATCTACATACAATCACAATCAGCAGCACACGAGATCTGGAGATTCGAACTCCACTTCCGACAGCGCGTATCCCATTCGAAACAGGTGATATGATGTACACCGCTAAGAGAGACTCTGTGGGAGCTAAAGTCACGAATTCATCGATCGATCTATTCCCTGAAAAAGCTCGCTTTGTTTCCTTCCTCCTGCTCGGAGACAGCAACAAATTATACAAATGGAAGCGGTCTCAATGCTTCCGATATCTTCTGGGGAAATTGAGCAAGGCTTCACCGCTGTCTGAAGATTTTCAGAATTCATGAGCATTTCAGCGAGAACGATGGAATGGTAGATTCAAGGAAGGGTCGTTCACGACACGCCCCGCTGTTCGAGGAGAAAACTGTCGGAGCAAACCAGCATAAAACGATCGACACTGTCTCTTCTGATCACTGGATCCTCGAAGCTCCGCAGTAGCTCCAAGCCTTCGCTCATCATGAAAGCTATTTTCGGTCTCGCCGTACTCTTCGTCGCTGTCATCTATCTCTCACTGACGACAGATGTATCAGACGCTCAAGTCGTTGCGCTCAGTCCATATTCCTACTATGGCTATGGGTATCCCTACTCATACGGATACTATGGATACTACGGACCATATGGATATCCGTACGCCGCCTACCCTTTGCTGAAGAAATGAGTCCGACAACACCGAGGGAGCTGAGTGTGAAGACTTCGGTGACATCGATAGCGATTCTGAACTAACTGAGTCGGAAGTGTTGATTTATTGAGTTAATCCGATCATAAATCTACTCATGGCATCAATCTGAACCATCGTCTTCTTCTTTAGATATTGAGCTTCGGCAGCAATAGTTTCCGTAAAGAGCAGGAGATGATCTCGTTGATCAAAACACTTTGCCGCGTCGTGCGCCGAGGAACTCGATCGGGGACGATTTCTCACGGTGTCTTAGACGAGGAATCATTTGTCTGACCACTTGCAAGTGAACCCGCCCGGGCACCGTTCGTGTCCAATGAAATCGCGCCGTCTTCAGACGGGCGGTGCTTCTGCTTCCGCGGATCTAACGGACTGCGGCATGCTCTGCACTTTCGGACTTGTATGGACGGCGTGCCAAGTGGTCATGACGTCCCACAGAAGGGCTCGAAGCACTTAGGACGGTGTCTGTGTACAGTTTAGCGTTATAAAGGAGCATCTGTGAAAATGAATAAGTTGGGGAACGAAGCGAGCACGAGCAGAAGACCCTGGGAGGACTTGAGTGATTCGGGTGAGTTTGACCGATTCAGGTCGATCTTGAGGAGAGTTTTGCGCGCTGTCTCGAGCGAAGTGCCAAGTTCCACTCGTCAACAATCGATCTCCGGTCTGGAGGCCCTGCAGTCTCAATTTTACTCCTCAACGACAAACTATACAACCCGGAGGTTCCCGCGGATTCGTTACTTAGACAGAGTCCGAGAGCGAGCTCCGAAGAACGTAAGGAGATCGTACTAACAAGCCGCGCCCTGTTCTGTCGACCGAGTCCGGCCTCTGAAGACCTCATCCACAGAAATAATCAGAAAAGCTCCGATGGTCTGATAATAATCACTTCGATGATATGAGAAAAGCATACAATATCGACGGAGGCTCTCATGATAAGGGATGGTGAATATGTGATGCATTTCCCTCACTGACTTCTTTGACAGCTTGCGCAGGGGTTCCATCCTCCTAGGATTCCAGAAATTCGAGTGTGACCATGAGTTCATCCACGGGGGCATTTCTTTGGATGCGTGGGGGAGAGGAGTCGTAGAGGCAAGGAGTCGCGTGTCGAATTATCCAAGACGCGTCGAAATCTTCTGACGGTATCTCATCCGACTTCGCCTGCTCAATTTGTCATGATATACTCGGGAATACCGGGATTCGAGCAAAGAAAGGAGCTTCAGGGAGGAATTTGGAAGATGGCAGCTGCTCTCTTTCTTCTCCGAGTTCAAAGATGCAGTTGTGGAGAGGAATGAGACGGTTCGACCCAGCCTCGGGGCTCTAAACATTTTTTGTCTTTTTTTTTTATATTTCAGCGCACTTGTTCTAGTAAAATTAGCTTTGCTCTTGTTCCTCATCTTTCTTCAAGATGACGGTAATCAACACTACTTACACGGCAGCAGCACACCGCTACTACGGCGGAATGCATGAAGACAGACGGACGGACAAATAGACAGTCAGTCAGGCAGGCAGGCGGGCTGCAAGATGAGATCCAATGGCATCCGTTTGAAGGGCGGCAGAAACGAGCATTTAAGATTAACGCCAGCGTTTAGACCCGAGTCTAGTTGTTTTCCTGCCGAGCGCCCGGGTTCGCCGTCTGCTACTTTCCCCTTTGAGCTGCTCCGCTGTATTCGGTCTTTCCCGCTGTCTTATATTCATGATAGACACTGATTCAGTCATCATCGGTTTTATTAAGAGAGCAACAGCAGAAGCAAATTTATAGCGACGAAAGTAGAACACATAAGCGTTTATTTCACTACGAGATGGGCAGCCGGAATTTCGGGTGTCTACACGTGACTGAGGCTTGGTTCCTTCATTTACCGCCGAGCTTCCCTGAAACAAAGACCTTCATCTTTGGAGACATGACAAGTCCGTCTATTCGGAAGTGGAGCGGAGCAACAAGCGGCTCTTAAATAGTTACAACAAAAAACACGACAGCCATGCTCCATCGCCCGGCAGCGATGACATCCCTTTTTCTAAGGAATAGAACAACTAGGGATCAGGTGTTGATCCTTGTAGTGTAACCCTACGCTTGTCCCCTCTCTTCACGGTCATGGGAATGAGTTCTGGGACTCGCGAAATGGGAGGGCGTTTCCAATCACATATGCATCAAGATCTCTTTCTACTTTCCAGTTCCCGCGCCTTCACCGTACAATTACTCAGAGTATGATCGGGTGCCGCCGAATGGTACCGTCGTACACTGCGAACCCCGCCGAAAACAGCGTCGGTACCGAACAACCTTCTCTGCGCAACAACTCGACGAGCTTGAGAAAGCATTCAGTGTGTCACATTACCCGGATGTTTTCACCAGGTGAGGACGCTCGGTTCCGGAAGGGAATCGGGAAGCCCGACTTTGGTGACTCTTCTGAGCTTTACGCCTCTGAAACGACCGGGATCGAAACTCGGACGACGTGACCTCCGCATTGTCCGGATTCAAGCCTCGGGAAAAATAGCCGCGATCCTCTGCTATCATAGACTGGACAAGTTCTTGATCAGAGTCAGTTCCTTCTGATCTGGTACTGGCGGTTCCGCTTGCTGAAGACCGGAACGAGAATTCGGGTCGTGAATGTCTTCAGCTATCCCGTTGTCCGAAGTCGAGAACGGACTCTCGACCCACCTCTATTCTTTGGGCTCAAAATCGGAGGATGTTCATTTGATATTTCCGTGGAGCAACTAATTTGTAAGAGATAACGGAATCATCACATTACTTGTGTAAATGCTTGAGCGCGTCAAACTCAGATTGAGGAGCACACGAAGAGGGGGCGTGTTTTCGAAAGCTTACGATGGAACTCATGCATTGTGTACGACCGCTCGAGCGACCGACTGAGTGAGTGAGTCGACAACGTAGCTGTTATTACCTGAACGGCAAGGGGCCGATAGAATTTAATCACTCATGGTCATGTTCGAGAAGTCACGAGGATCCCGGCTACCCAATCTAGCTTTCCGGAGGCAGCCGCCGCCTCGTAGCGGAAGCAACGACCGCGAGATTCTTCTGCCAGCATAAGCTCGCAGTTAGATCATGATGGAAGGTGATGATGGGTTTTGAGCTTCGCAGAGTCCCTGAGGGCTGCTGACTCCTGAGCTTGGGGGAGAAGGTTTTTCACCGCAGGCTTTCAGCCACGCGTGCCTCGAAGACTCTAATGTGGAGCTTCGTTTCGGCCTGGGGAGAACGGAGTCTTTCAATATCTAAATAATTTCCAATGCTTCCAGGGAAGAGTTAGCCGTTAAAACAGACCTTACGGAAGCGAGAGTCCAGGTTTGTGGAGCGATTCTATCGATGATTATATCACTCACGACGGGAACTTTACACAACTAATCGCTAGTCAGATTGGACAATATTCGTGCCGAAGTCTGATGTCAAGTAAATCTCATCAGAGCGGGTTCCGTTACTGGAACCGGCGGTTTCTGTGGACTGCCTGCTTGAATCCACATGCATGTTCTTCCAAGAAATAACATTGGAGAATGTTAGATAAAATCAGACTTAATAACAGAGGCGAGCTCGCGAGATAAAAAGGAACATAGAATGCAGATTATTATGTTTTTATTTGCCAGATCTGTTGTTTCATTTTCACAAACCGCATCAGAGCACCGAGATGAGACGAGACGTTGACGGAGCCGCCTCAAACTGTGTTATTTAGCCGAATGAAACACAAGCCACTTTAACATCGTCCACTAGAATTTTTAATGTGCACTGGCGTGTAATTGTTATAATTGTGGCCCGGAGGAAGCCACGGCGAGCATCTCCATGAATCTGTCTTCAACCGGGCCGGTACCTTGTGGCACTCGCTTTAAGGCGAATTCCCTTCACGCGCCATCCGATATGTTCCCAGTACGCAAAAAGGGTAATGAGGAATTGACTTTGAGGGATTGCATTGTCTCTCCTCAGAACCCTCCGGCGAGTGGTGTTCCTCCAGAGCTCCAGACAAAACTGGAATGGTGTTTCCTTTGTAGGTTTGGTTCCAGAATCGGCGAGCGAAATGGCGGAAACAAGAACGAGTGGAAAACCCACCATCTTACGGATTACCCGCTCATCAGCCGTCGGTTTCGGCGCAGGCAGCCTTCGCGGCGATGAATAATAAGCGTCAACAGTCGATGGCGGCCGCTCCTTTTGCCGTGAATCCTTTCATGACTCCTTTCGGAACTTCGTTCACCCCGTTCGTGAACCCATTGAATATTTACGCCTCGCAAGCGGCGCATTGGCTCCACGCTGAGATGAACGGTCTCCAGGATGTCGTTGCCACACGTACAGCTCCAAGCGTCGAGATGCCGCTAGAAACCGTCGAGAACAACAAGTAGACTACAGGAAGTCGAGAACGAACTGTCACCCCACACCTATTCTCTGAAGTTCATTAAGGGATGTTCTGCTTGGGAGCGGTCGATGATTATAATAGGAGCTTCATGGAATAAATCTGAGCTTTACGAAAGTTTCAACGGCGCAAGTCATCTTCTAACATTACATAAAATCCTCCAGGGGGAGGGAGAGACGATGCTTCCTACAGTGAACCCATATTTTGCCGACGATCTCAAACTTCTCCGGAAACAAATCGTGTCCCTCGACCTCCTACCCTATACTCCTAGTTCGATATCTGGTGGAGTCCAATGATGCTCGCGGCGGACTTCGCTCCTGGATAAACGTAACGGGCTTCCTCGACGCACGCTCAGGAAGGTTCTCCGCTTTATACCCTCGACCGATTTCGCTTGCTCGGCGTCTGGTGGTGTTATGTTCGCGAGGAATCTTGAATTGTTGTTGTAGTTCGACTCCGGACCCCTGTATCTCCCGTCTGCACCATCACTTGCAAGAGATGCGTATCCTGATGCTTCTGGTTTTCCTGGTTGCGAATATGCGATTTTGTTTCTCAGATTTACGCGGAGGTATTAGCTCGATAGACGATGCGGCCTGCGTCGCTGGCTTTCTCCTTCCTCCGAATTCCATCCCTCACAGCTTGACCTCGAGAAGAGCGACTGCATCGAAGTGCTTGGTACGTATAAGAAGCTCAGTAAGAACGCTGTAGAACAAGAAGAGCATTTGAGCGACAATCAAGGCGACAAAGTCAAGATGAAACATATTTCCGTGCTGGTCGCACTGTGCTTCGCCATGGCTGTTTGCCTCTCCATCGCTCCATCTGAAGCCCAGCTTCTTACTCCGCAATACTACTACTACCATTACGGTCATGGAGATCACCACTACGGAGCTTATGACGGACTCGGACATTATCTGGATGACTCTCATGCCGACTACCACTACTTCTTAAAGAAGAAGAAGTAGTCCGATCAGAATTCCCTGTAAGTGGGGAGCGAGGACTCCAATGAGTCTGCGGTATGTTCGCTCTTGGGAATAAAGTTTGAAAAGGGTGTCAATCCTGAGGAGATGTATTTCATTTTCTGTGACATTTGTGAGTCTCTATTATCCCCTCTCCCACGGTCAGGGGCTATCCCGTCTATTGGCGATGGGGAGATTTGCCCTGAAGCGGGCAGATGTCTGTCGTGGAGAATCGTGCCGGACACCATGAACCATGATCAATGACCGTGGCGTATCCGATCAGGTTGGAACACTCGAGAGGGACACGTATGGACCTAGCTTTCGCACAGCGCACCTTCTCTGCGTATTCCCTGACGCAGCCCTATGCTTAGAGCGCTTAGGCATCCTGGCAGCAGGGAAATTCAAGCGAATTGCCAGGATACGCACCATATTCTTCTCTAGGATGCCGGGAGACCGATCTGACTCCGAATCGAACCCGGCCACATACACAGCTGCCTACGTATATGATGAGCATGTCTCGCGTCTGCTTAGGGTCATTCACTTATATAAGCATCACGTGTGGGACTCGAGTCGAGATCGGGGCTCTGATTTCCCGTCCACCAGTCAGATTCTCGTGTATGCCTAAGCTTCGGATTCTTCTGCGCTCACACGTATCCAAATCGCTTCGGAGTTTACCCCTTACTACGACCGATGCAACCGAAGCTCCCCTCCATCCCCTCACGATTCTCTCCCTGATGGATCGCTCGATCGCAATCATCCTTCACTTGATCGCAGTAGGTGAGCGGATTCTTCAAACTACGGGAGCCTCCCGAAGTCATGTGTGCGATGCAGCTCAAATTGCACGACTTTTTTCGTTTTGATCGCTAGGAACGAGGCACCGAAGGCGCGCAATTGGGAATTGGAGGCACAGCACGCGCTTGCAGGGACGAGCTTCTCTCGGTTTCCATCCCAGAGAGCTCCTCTGCATCTGAAATCAGAAATCAGACGCAATGACGTCACGCGGGGAGGTCCATCGATTTTCTTTGCTTGATCTGGCCGAGATTGAGTCGAGTCTCCAGATCGCTTATGCATTCGGCGGAGATCGGGGAGACTGGGAGCGGTAGGTAACACTTGTGTTACGGAGCGTAAGAGCCTTTCTTCGGTGTGGAGCATCGCTCGAGATCCCTCGCTCTAATTAACGGTGAAGTGTGCCCTAGAGCATAAAGGAGATTCGTGCATGAAGCTCGGGAGCTGTTCGCACCGATGTAAACCTGTCAACCTTGGGGAACGATGAAAGTCAAGGAAAGAAGATTATTCCCGCCGGAAGAGAAAGACCAGCGGAAGGGGAAAAACAGTCCAGGGGGAATGCGAAGCAGTCAACGTTGAAATGTATGCGGGAATACGATTATCTACGCTTCAATGCATGCATGATTTACGTGAATCATGCATCGCTCAAACGCGATTTTCCGGAGGTAATTATGTAAATCTTCTCGCAATCGAGGCATGTGGAGCGAAGGTCTCTCCTCAAATGAAGGCTACAGACTCTTTCTTGCCTGTTTTCGTATAAATCATCCTCGCTCTGTACAAAGATCTGCTCTGCGAGAGAAGCGGATTTTCGTAGCTAAGACGACATGAATTCGACTACCTGCTTTGTCGTTCTCTGCCTCATCATCGCGATGTGCTCCGAGAGCTCTGATGCTCAAGTGATCGCATCTAGCCCGTACTTGCTCCACTACGGTCTTCCTCACGGATATTACGGAACTCACGTAGCTTATGGCTACGCCTATACAACCCACGGCTATCCCTACGGAGCATACGCTTTCCTCAAAAAGTAATAAAGGTCGACAGCGTCTCCGCAGCTGAGATTTTGTCTTCCCTTGCCGTTGAAAAGCATGCTCGGAGGTCTGGGATCTTTGACTGGAGTTCGAGGATCGCACCATGGGATCTTGACGGTCCGGGGAAAGAAAATCTCGATCAGATCAATTTTTCATTTGCCCAGGCCTCTAGTCATGATCTTCCCTCACATCAGATCAATTATTCGAGCCTCACCATCAATTAGCGACTCCAGTCAAGTCTATGTATTCATGAGCTTCAGAAGATAGACTGGACGAGCATCGAGACCGATCGTGAGTGCATGCGATGTGCTGGGGGCTAGAAGCCCTTACAGCTCTATAGAATGAGATTCCACGTGAGCGCCGCACAGCCGGAAGGCCGAATCGATTTGCTTCATCCAAGCGGTTTCGCGTGCCCACCTTCGCCTTGTCCTGTGCGAGGGGTAGATGCTTGGGATCCGACGGCCCCTTACTGTGAGATTCGGTCCCCCTGATTCCCCTGGATCTCCACCTGGAAGGAGAGCAAAGAAAGTCTCCGCCCGCATGCTTTTCATCAAGAGACCACTTCGTTCTTGAGACCGTCAAATAGGGCCTCCAACGTGATTGTCGGAATCCGGAATCGAGAAGATTCGTTCTTCTCCCTCGTGAGGATTCGCTTTGACAAGTCTTCAATGAGCACTCAGTCTACTGCGACCCTCATCCACGGAAGTCGGTCATCTGGCTGCAGTAACGAATATCCTCGCTCCGGAACCTACAGTCCTAGAGCGTTTCATCAGATGAGCTTTTGAAGAACTTCCGATCAAGAAATCGATCCGTCGGCGTCGTTTCCTGCAATCGACTCTGGAAAAATCGGCTATGTTTCTCACGAGGTTTTTCGCCGTCACGCCATCCATGCATAATCACTTCCAATATTCCCAGAATCTTCGACTAATTCTGGTCATGATCTTTCGCGTCGTCTGGAAGGCGACTGTCGGATGCTGAATTCTCTCTCTTCTTTGGTGCGATACTTCGAAGCTCAGTAATCATTCCGGCGTCTCAGTCGGGGGCGCTTTCCGTAGCTCCGTCCATCTGACGAGATGAAACTCTCTCAGAGCTCCCTAATCTTTCGAATTGCTGCGCTGGTATCCTCCTAGCTTCCAGCCGGTCCTGGCGTGTGGGTGGTTGCCCACGATGAATACGCGAACCTTCAGGCATACGGATATCCTCACGGATACTTAAATTATGACGGTTTCCACGACTATGCATATCAGCTCGCTCTGTTAGTGGAAAAATGGGCGTCGGGAGCTTGATGAGAGGTCAGACCGCGGATTCATAGATCAAGAATCTCGATTCGCGTTCAATCATGCGGGGTTTCTGACTTTTTTTCCATAAACACGCCCAAGCTCATTATGGGTTCACGATGTCAGATCGAAGCACGAGAGCATGCCCTATATGCGGAGGAGGCCATCATGGGGGAAAACTCCGGAAGAAGGCGGAGGGAAGGATGCGCATTGGGACATGAACATCAGTGTAGAGAATGTGTAGTTATGGCGGGGGCTATACTCATTATCAAATGAGTTCAGATCGTCAGAGTAGTCGGGGATCCGCACCCGACAAATGGGGTAAGCGCCCAAATATTCCTCGAAGGACCGCGGGAGGCTCGGCTCTTTCACGTTTTACTCTTGCTGATACTCCGTTGCCCGTTTCGGGTAAGTTTAGGGTGTGAGCCTATGAATTGGTTTGCGCTCATATAGGACCTGCGCTCATATCGGACTTGCGCGCATATCGGACTTGCGCTCAAATCGGACCTGCGCTCAAATTGACCCGCGCTCTAATGTATATCCACCGAAGTTTCCACACCTCAGGTCCATTTGAAGTCGCGGTCCTGAATTCATTCCTCGTCTATTCGTTCAGCTTCCCGAGTTTGTCCAGAGCAACTGTCCCGCGAAACATTGCTCGAAAAGAGAATTTGTCTGTCTGCAGAAGTCATGACAGAGAAATTGGAGCACTGGATCCATAAAATAGGGATTTCTTCTGAATCGAATCGAAAAGTAAATGTAATTAGCTAACGTGGACTCTGGCTGTGTAGGTTGTGTATTGCCGCAATTTCATATGACTTATGTCCATTATTAGAACGGTTCCCAGTGCTTCGCCGATGGTGCAACGACTTCAGAACAATATCAAGACGCGCCCCCCCCACTCAATGCACAGTTTCGCATGAAATATTGCTTATCATCATCACTGTTCTAAACACACCACGGGACGGACAGGAGCTCCGGATCATGGCTCATTCTCACAATCGGCGAGAAATGGTTACAGAAGAGAATAGATCCTTGGAGCGCTCCACCTCTCCCGGGCTTCCTTCGGCATAAACCGCTGCAATTGGCATCGGATTGTCGCCTCAATTGGACTCAGATGAAATGGAGAACTTGTCACCGTACGTATCGGACTGTCCTTATCAAGATATTCGACTTTGGTTTTCGGTTTTTTTCCGACGCACGAATTCTGAACGAGCTGTCTGCGACCACTTTTGCTCATTTGGCATCATTGGTTGCTCGAATTGCTGCCCGGCGGTCGCGCCAAATAAACAACTCGTCAGAGTCCGATGATCAACATCTTTTTTGACAGAGCCTCTTTATCGTAGCTAAGCGACTAATTTCTTCCGTACTGATTGCTTGCCGCGGCCGTAATGACGCCGGCACAAAGTCCCGAACAGTAGAAAAGCGACCGCGTGGGTAGAGCTCAAAGTTCTCGGGGTAGGATCGTTCCTCGTCCGATGATATGTTTACAGACTTGATGCTCTGAGTTGAGGTCGAACACAAAGTTACCTTGCGCGAGAGAACGAGCAAGGGGATCTCATTGGGGATATCCTTCCGCCGACATGAGGGACAGTTATTCCTCGCCATTTGCCACTAATGATCGAAGCAGAAAGAGACAATGTCTCTGAAGCGAGTGAGAACTCTCTTTCCCCAGAGGATTTCATATCGTCGAAGGGTCTCAAAAGCTTGGGACTAGGGACCGTTATCCCTCCCCAGCGCTGCACGTAGTCGTTAAGTCTCGAGTCTATGGTGGCGAGCTGGTCAAGATGTTGAGAGGTCTCTTTTGAGTTGACGCTATTCCACAGCCTCCGATTTCATCAACTTTGATTCGGAGAATTACGATTGTTCTCTATTTTTTTTCTACAAATGACGGAAATTTGGCAGGTATATTGCTCGAGGCTTTCTCAGCCTCATTGGAGGTACTGCAGCCGTTCTCATGGTACGCTTCACCGCCTATTCTCCCTGTGGGTGGCTGCCGCCAAGAATTCCATCAATCGTTTCATAGAAAGCTACGTTTATTCTCGAATATGCGGATATTCGTTTTTCTCTACATGGAATTTTAGTTTCCTTGAGAAGGCAGTCAGGACCGCAATCTTCATGCGATTCTCTGAGCGCCAGACCAGTCTTCTAACAGCGTCTCAATATATTAAGATGTAGAATGAGTTGAAAAGCATGAGAAAAGCTCCGAGGAATCCCGAGGGGAGACCTCGTTCACCGACATGTCAATCTCCTCGGATAAGACTCTCCAAGATGCAAGGCTCGCAGCGGGTGTACTCGGCCAGCCTTGGTTATAGGAAGAATTCAAGAAATTCCCTTTTGTCTTCTTAAGGCATGTGTCATGTTCATCGAATAAATATCTTTCAAAGTCCTGAATTCATTTTAAAATCTAGATGTAGTCCATCGATGGGTGTACTCTATTATGATTTCGATGAGTCAAGGGCTCGGCTCTTCGAAGATTCCCCTGGACCCCAGACGGATGGAGTTTTTCGGGAGACTTGTGTCATAACGTAGAGCACGACGTGGTGATAAATTCAATGCATTATCACCGAGTTATTATTCGCCGTTCAACTGCCGACGACACTAACATTATGCGGGCGATGCCATTAGCACTTTGTAATCCGGGAAGGTAGCTCCTGCTGCGGGTGGTCACGACATTTGTGCTTCTGGCGGAAGAAGCAAAACGCAAGGGAAGAATAGCTGACGAAACTCGTCCGTAGAATCGTTTGTTGGATTGTATTCAATCCCGCGACGAGAAACACCGGCGACCCATCGCGTATGTCGTTTCGAGCGGCCAAACTATGAAGAACATTTCGATTCGCAGGAGAACGTCCACAGCTATGGAGCACGCACCGTCATCGACCGACGAGTGATTCCACTTGAATATTATTCCTCGAAGAGCCGTGAGCATCAAAGTCGTGAGGGACACCGAGGCCACAGCGAAGATGAGTGCCATCGCGTACGACACCCAAACCGAGATTTTGAGCTGTTCGGTGTTTGTGGCGAACACACTATCGATCTTGGGAGGCAGATGATCCAGGACGTTCGGGATCGCTAGGAGAATTCCGAGTGTTCCGGCCGCTGTCAGGATCAGGATCGTCCAAGCTAGACACAGACACGTCTTTGAATTTTTACTGTAGACGTATAAACTGAACAGGGCGAAAGTGACGGTGAGCGTAAAGAGGATCAGTGCGATGTCCTTATGGGCTTTCGAAGGTCCGAACAGCAGATCGCAAACGCTGAAGAAGAAGAGCGCGAAGCCCAGCGAGTACACACTGAGAAGAATAGATGCGCAAATCGAATTCCTGAAACGATTCACCATTTGCATGAGCAACACGGTACAGCAGGGGAACACGATCACGAGCGCTTCCTCTGCGTGGTGAAGAATGTGCGGAGGGGGGCAGTAGTCTTTGCAGTGCGCAAGTAGAATTTGCAGGGATAAATCCACTACGGATAGGAGACTCAAGTGGAGCCCTATTATGAAAAGCACTTGTTTCTGCCGGAACTCACGACGCTCCTCGAGATTGAGTCTCACGTAGCCAGACTCGACATCGCTATCGTCCGACACGACGAGCGTCTCAGAGGCATCGTCCGTCCCCGGCTTCCCACCGGCAGCATCAACCGTGGTGTTCATTTGCCTCCTTCGATCACCTTTCGAGCACTTAGATCCCAACGTGTCGAGATAGTTGAGCTTCGATGAAGTTTCGGAGATTTTTGTGTTCGAGCGTCCCTTCAGCGTCTCCTGGAGTTCGTCCTCGAAATCAACTTCAATTGAGAGAGACGATAAAGACGAACCGTAAGATGTCATCACCGGCCCTCCAGCTGTTCCAAACGCCGCTTGCACATCTGCTTCGGGGTTTGTTTTCATTCGCAGGGATCGTGCAACGGTCGCCCGACGTGCGTGCATCGGCACCTTCCGGATGGTTGGGAGGTCTCCGGAGACTTCTTCTCCGCCCGTTCCCGGATCCGCATGGTACTACGGACTCCTTTAGTAATTTATTTGTCACCGTATTCAGATGAATGTTTTGTCTCGAATGCATATCCGAGACGCTGCCGATTATCGTATCGGGAACATCCCGCGATGTGACAAAGTCCCCACGCCGAAACTAATCATCGATCATCGTATATGTCTGGCGATAGTTCTCGTAATGATTTCAATTATTAGAGGAGTGAGCTGCTCTGCTTTCGTGAAACACACACAAAGCGGAGCGTGCACCGCTTCTCTCTTTCCACACGATGTTCTTCTCCATTGACGACGTCGAACCAACAGACAACGGTGGCAGCATCGGAGCGACCGAGCGCTGGCTGTTGTTGACGTCCAGGCCGCTCAGCCGTAAGGCAGCGAACGCCGAGGCGAGCCGACAAGCAAGATTCTCCGCACAGACAAAACGCTGTAGCCCTCTCCTGTTTGGGTGAACAACACAAGACCGCAGATCGAAACGCATCGAGCCAGAACCGGTTTCGTAGATCACAACCAGCGAGGTGATCGGTGAAGTCCCCCGCCTGCCTGCCTGCCTGCCTACCTGCCTGCCGGGTTCGAACTCTCGACGAGCACCTCATCACAATCGAGCTGGCGGGGCAACCCCGGCTCGATTCACTCGGCTCCCGAGCTCTTCTAATGAAGACGTCAGAGCTGGGATGAGCCAGCCAATGGAACGCTGGCTCTTCGCCGCGCTCTGTGTTTTCTCGTCCGCGGTGTTGGTCTACCTCCCTGTGCTTCGGTATCCTCTACTCTACGACGACGTAGCTGCCGTTGAACGGAACCCAGATGTTTTCGCCCCGTTTTCCTTGCGTTCTCTGTTGACGAATGACTTCTGGGGAACCCCTCTCACGGCCAACTTCAGCCACAAGAGCTACAGACCGCTGACCGTTTTGACGTTTCGACTCACCGGTGATGTGTACCGACAACGGATTCTCAATATCGCTCTTCATGTCCTGAACAGCCTGCTCTTAGGTGTTTTGGTTCAGCGATACCTCGGACCCCGCAACGGGAAACTATGCGCGGGTCTTTTCTGTATTCATCCCATTCACGTTGAAGCTGTAGTGCAATTGGTCGGCAGAGCGGAACTGCTGTGTGCGAGCTTCTTCCTCAGCTGTCTTCTGAGTCCGTCGTACCCGTCAGCGTGTGTTCTCGCCGTATTGGCGACTCTGTGCAAAGAACAGGGGCTCACAGCTCTGGTGGTGAAGGTTTCTCTGGACTTGGCCCAACGTCTCAACAAACGGAACCGCCACGGTCGAATCCCATGGAGGGAGATCCTCTTATCTACGATGGTGACAATAGCTCTCCTAGGGGCGAGATTGACTATCTCGGGGCAGGCGCCGACGTTCCATAAACTCGACAACCCCGTGCGGCTCCTGGACTCGCCCTTCCGACAGATCAATCTCGCTTATCTGCCGGTATTTAATTTTCATCTTCTGCTCTATCCCCTCAGACAGAGCTGCGACTACACCTTCAACTCTCTGCCCCTTATCCGAAAGTATTCGGATGTGAGGGTGCTTCAAGTTGGAGTGTTCGTTCTGTCGGGCCTTGTGGCCGCTGCTACGCTTCTGGTGAAGATCTTCAAGAAAACAGCCGAAGATGAAAAGTTGAACAACAACTACATCGCGCCAAAATACGATGAAGGAACTCGCACATCGAATTCCATCGCAATCTCGGCTCTGGTCATGACTATCGTCCCATGGTTGCCCGGTTCAAATATTCTGTTCTACGTCGGATTCGTGGTCGCAGAGCGAGTTCTGTATCTGCCCTCGATGGGGGTGTGTTTTCTCGTAGTTTTGGGACTTTCCAAGCTCTCCGAGCATCTGCCCAAGCAGAAGACGGTACTCCGAGGCGCCTTGGTGGTCCTATGCGTTTGTCTGCTAATGAAGAGCTCGATCCGCGGTCGACAATGGCAATCGGGGACGAAGCTCTTCACGTCAGCCGTCCGCGTGTTTCCCGGTAGGAGATCCCTCACGATGAGCTCGCAATTAAATTTGAATGAGAATGTATCATATAGGCAGCTTTCTCAGGGAGAGAACAAATATTCTCATTTGATTTTTGCAGAAAACATCAAAATGTGGAACAGTTTGGGCAAGGCCTACGAGACCGAAGGAAACTTCCACCTCGCTCTCAGCTGCTTCGACCGATCGGCATCGATATACGACGATCTGAGGTCAAAGTGGTACAAAGCGAAGCTGTTGGCGAAACTTGACAAAAACGAGATAGCGAAAGCCATATACCAAAAAGAATACCCTTCAGTGATAAGCAGATCTCGCGAATCGAATGGATCTCACATTCGAAAAGAAGAGATCCTCTTCGTCGTAGATTATGTCCGACTTCTGATAGAAGACGACGCTTTGCGAGAAGCCCGAACGGTCGTTGAGGACATGCTCGCTATATTCCCACGGGTTGCCGAGCTGAACGTTGCCGCCGGTGAGCTGTTTTACAATCTGAATGAGAAGATCATGGCCGAAGAAAGCTATCGCAGAGCACTTGAGGCCGCTCCGCGAACAGCTGACGTTTACTACAATGTGAGTTCCTCTACCAAACCTTTCACGATCAATATTCCCCAGAATCGTATTTCATTCCACAACCCGGTGTCTGAAAATTATTTCCGAGACCGCCGGACGTTGCCTAATGAAAATGAAAATCCGTCAATTCAGCTTGGAGTGTTGCTCATGGAGCGCGGAGCCACAGATAAAGCTGCGGACATGTTCCGCAAGTGTGTTGAGATAAATCCTCAACACGAACCTTCTCGAGTCAATCTCAATGTTCTCCGCACGAACACCGAGGATTCCGAAATGATGCGATTGAGCAGGGACGCGATGGACGCGCTCCGAGAAGGAGCGTACTCTGCAGGTACGATCAAGTCGGGAACAATTTCTCTCTTAGGCGATATTTCGAAGTAAATTCCTGTTTTCTGAATGTTCGACTCCGTCGATGAATCTAACCTGGTATCTTCTTTCTACAGCGGAGTCACTCCTGCACCGAGTTCTGTCTCGGAATCCGCATCATCCGTCGGCTCTCTACAATCTCGCCCTGCTCCAAACCCAAGTAGGGAAACCGCCGGCTGTATCGTTGAGCTTCATCGACCGTTTATTGAGTGTCAGGCCATCCCACTCGAAAGGTCTTCTTCTGAAAGCGAACATCGTTCATCGGCAACTCCGCGATTTGGATGCGGCCGTCGAGGTAAATTATTATAGTGGATGATAGTTCGCAGCTGTTCTTGTACTCTGATCCGTCTGAATCCTAATGTGAAGTATTCCGAGTCCCAGCACGAGCGTCATGAGCTGGACTTCCGAAACTCCTGGGCGGGGTTGCGCTTCTGTGGTTATTGCACCACCAACCTCTTTGATTCTGTGCCACTGAAGCGGGCTTTCGCGAAAACTCAGTTCCGAGAGAATGGGGGATTCGACCCTTAAGTGAAGTCGTTCCGAACACAATCCGAGTGTCCTCGTGACTCCGTCATGAAGGAAATACTAGGAGAACACAATGTAGGATTGCCGCCGCCATAGGCCATGTAAGGCGAGGATCGGTCGGCCATGAGTCATGAGACACATGCAGCTCGCTCGCTGAGACGGCTTCTCTATGGTACTTGTTTTCCGGTCTAGCCTCCAAGGGATATTCACGTTTCCTTACCCTCCGGGTGATTCATTTTTTTAATTAGGTATCTGTAGAAAGATACACCTCTCATGAGATCAGGAGAACAGGGAAGATAGCATCTCATCTACGAGAAGTGCCGCTCCTTGGAGACTTCTTGCTCCCTGGTTCTTCGCGTACCGGTCCGAGCGTGATCGACCGTGGAAGCGGAAGAGGGACGATTCTCTGGATGAAACCTAAAGAACTAGAATCCATCATTGCCGCTAAGGATACTGTTTTTGACGCTGTAGACAAGACCTGAGACCGGTATTGTTTCCTTTCCAGCTGTACGCGAAAGCCTACTCTGTTGATCACAATCTCGAGTCAGCCTTGGAAGCACTCTGTGACCTTTCGCCTTCAAAAGCCTTCCAGTTAGGCGGAAGCTGCCACCGGGATGTGGAAATCGAAACTGACGCCTCCGAGAGAACTCAAGCGCACGACATTCCGTTTTTCGATCGGAGGCAAATCGATCTATGACATTCCGCGCGTACGACCATGTACATATTTCCAGCTCTTTCTTGTAGAAATTCGAGAGCTTAGACCGAGTTGAGAATCAAATCATCGAGAGAACTCATGAGAAGATTTCGGACTGACGCTTCCCGAGTCGTCACGTAAACTTTACACCGGGAAGCCAAGAGGAGGGCAGTGGGCCTGCGAAGAAATCGGAATCATAGCGAGCCTCCTCCTCGGCGCGACGGGATAATTTACCCATATGTGAATTTTGTATATTCTAGATTCTAGAATAAATGATCTGTATATAAGAGTCGTATGCTTGATGTTTTGCTGCGGTGTATTCGGGGTCGCGACTCACACAGAATGAATCAGAGAAACTGGTTCGCGGAAGCCGGAGCTTCGTTCTGCATCCGCGGCCCGGATTGCCGCTCGACATTCGCACGGGGTCCGACTCTGGATACCTAGGTACTTCGGAGAGCAGCAATAGCGTCTCTGGGGAGGCCGGATCGCACCGGTGCGATTTACGGACTCAGATTCTGAGACAGATGTCCATGTGAGCCCGGAATATGACCCTGAATCGAGCACCTTCAGTCCGCTCACTCAGGTTGTCTTTGTTCACCAACTGGTCGGATAGAATTAGAGCGGTCTAGGAACACCGGGAGTTATCGCTGGAATTCACGATCTCCTCGGAAAACCGTGCGTATCATTACGGAGACCCCAAGCGAGGCTGGCCGGACTCGAGTCGACTTCCCCATCAAACACTTATCCAATTTTACCATTGATCCCTCCAGGTAGCCGCAAGAGTCGATCTCCATGTGGTTGTGGAGCTCCGATGGCTGACCTCAATGCCTAGTAGAAGAGTCTGAATACTGCCTTTGTCGCGCAAGAACATCGATCTCTGAAAAAGGCCATTCTTCCGCACGAAAGAATGGTACGTCTGAACTTCGGGTATGAATACCGAAGCCAGCTCTCGAGCGACAATACGAATCTCCCAAGGACACCGTGAAGTTACTGCTCGTAAGAGCTTTCGATAGACGGTGTTCCGCCATCCATCACGACCACATGCGTGCTGCCTCTTGAAAGAAGGCATGGAAGAGCTCCCGCTTTTCCGTGGGGCGTTGCGGGCTCTCCTCCGGGCTCTCTTCTCTGTTTTCATCAGATCCGATGTTTGAGAGTCCGCGTAGTCGTGTTTCCATACACCTCATGTGCTTACAATAGAAAGATGCTCTCGTGTCATGTCTGAAAGTAACGAATATCCGGTCCGGGGATCGTGACAGCAGCCTGCGAGTGTCACATGAATCATGAACTTTCGGCCATCTCCAGACATGGGAAATAATGCGCTCGTGAATGACTCAGGCAAATTCCGAGTCACTCGTTCTGTCCACTGCGAAGGGGCCGTGTCTCGGGTTTAGTTTTTGTGAGAGTCCTCGGTGCTCGAGGGATAATGACGATTTTCAAATGAGTTATAGGTCATGTATGTAATTTTGATTCTGCTTCATTCCCTTTCCTCTATACCTGGGCCTCGTCAAAGTACTCCAGTGAGATCTACTGATCCGAAATTCCCCAATGTCGCTAAGAATACAATACTCCAGTTCATATTCTGGCAATCTATCTCATTTCTGTAAAAACCCGTAAGCGGAGAATGAGCGAGCCGCTCCGGCCGAAAGAGCTCTTGACGGACACCTGAGACGTTGGCGACACTGGAAAACTAGCTGCGGGGGCGGACAATAGTTTGGTTAGAGGGAACTTCGATGCGATTTGTAGTGTTTGGGGACTCTGAACCCGCGTCCCCCTGAAAAGTGTTGACATCTCACTCAGCGCGCAGCTCCCTGACGCTCGGTGACGTTTCCGAAGAGCGGAACGGCTCGAATTTCTTTCATTACGTAAGGATCCATTCCATCGATCGTATCAGGTCGCCTCGCTAGGGAATGTCAGGGCAGGGGAAAAGAAAACCGTACTGTGAGCGAAAGTGACGTCATGATTTTGAGAAAATTCATTGAGGGATCACGGTGGCATCCTCAGCGCGAATAGCGGTCCAGTTCCCTCCTCCACGAAGGACGCTTCCCTGTGAGATAGTTCTTCCGATGGTTCATGACTGCAAAGAGTTCATCGGCTTTCTGTGTTTTGGATGTTCGCTCACAGCCACCGGAGCCTGTGACGTCAGCTGACGCGCGATTCTCTGCACCTTCTCCCAGAAAACAGTCCAAGCATCTCCCTCCCCTCCTCCGGTATATAAACCAGAAGGCTCACCGATAATGCTTGAATAAAGCCAAGAACAGGTAGGTGATGCATCCTCAGGGAAACAGAGTCACGATATCGACCGAAACTTCTGAGAGGTTTTACCCGTGGTGTGTGCGAGGAGCTCCGCATCCTGATGGCATGCTTCGAAATTCCCCCGAAATTCTTCGACGTTCTGATGCATCAGCCTCCACTCTGTGCTTCGGGAGTACTCTCAAGGAGAATTGTCCAAGCGCGTTGACGGGTCGCCTCCAAGCCGTTTGTTTGTTCTCGAGTACGAGCAGATAGCGAGTTCTCTTCCCTCGCGTGGAGTTCAACACCTACCCGACCTTGAGAGCTAAGAACGCCACCGCAAAGTTTCAATGGAAGCCGGCCGGATCATTTTCCGTCAGAGGAAATCCCCGAAATTCTGTTACTTGTCCCTTCGTGGACTTCATTTCACTATCGCGAAACAGAAAAACTCGTGTCGGGGGGCCTTCCGGAGTCAGGATATTCCCCGGTGGCATGGCCTGTCAAGCAAATCACGATCGGGGGCCTTGATTCTCTATAGTGCTCTAGAATAGAGCAAAGGAAGAACTCAAAGTGAATTTGTGTATTCCAGACCGGCCACCATGCGTACCATGATCTGTATAATCGCGTTGTGCGTCGCAGCCTCTGGGTCAGCTCAAATAATCGAAGAGCGATCCTCGATCCGGAATCCCGATGGTTCAATGACGCACAACAGGAAGAGCTCCTTTTCCCAGGCTTCGTTCTCCGAAGCAGCCACGGCTCCCGACGGAACCACGGTCGGGCGGAGCGTACACAGAGACTCGACGGGCAAGATCACAGGCAACGAATGGACAGCGAAGAACGGCCAAAAGGTAGAGTGAGACGGCATGGAGCGGACAAGAACCCTCGCAATGGCTGCTGGAACTGCTGGATGGTTCTCTACTCCTTGTTCGAGCGGATTCCCTTCGACTCGTGAGAGAGTCCGGATTAAGCAGAGTCCCAAATCCATCGATTGACAATCACACAATCGATTGAAATTCACAGATTGAAACGAAGCCGATCGATGGATCTGATGTTGGAGCACGAAGCGTTCTCGGCGGTTTCGGCGGTCTCGGTGGACTCGGCGGACTCGGCGGTCTTGGGTCCAACTTCGGCAACACCGGATTCGGCAGCGGCTTCGGAAGCGGTGTTGGACAAGGAGTCGGAGGCATTGGAGGTCCTGGCTTCGGGGGCGGATATGGAGGATTCCCCACTGGAGGTAAGGTAATCCGACTTCCCTGATCAACTAAAACCCAAGCATTATACAGGGCAGCATATCATGACTCGTCTTCTAGGCCTTCCATGGGCGAATTTCGGCAACTTCGACGGACAGTACGGACCGAGTTCCGTGAACCCGAGTTTCGGTCAAATGCCCCAATTCCACCTCGGTCAGTTCGGCTTCCAGCAACCTTTTTCGGTGCCGAACTATTCGAAGTTCCTCTTGGGCGGAGTTGGATTCAACCCCAACATCGCAAACGATGGTCATTTCGCCAACGTTGTGCCTGGATTCGGTAAGGGTGGAAGGCTTCGAACTGGATGCGGTCATAACTGTCTGTCCCTTCCACCCTCGGAATTTCAGCCGGACAACAATCTTCTCACTGGGCTTAGATTAGATCGCCGATTAACGCGAACATAACAAAACTACGACCTACATCCTCCGTACATTTTCCGCTTCTGCTCCTCCTTCTTCATGAGAGACGGAAGGTTTCGGATTCGGTGGCATATCTTCTAACCTTGTGGTACTATCGACGCTGATGTCTTCTCGCTTCCTCGGCTCCCGGCTCTCACGTCGCTTTTATTCATGGGAGGAGAAGATAGCTTTGCGATATGTTGCGAAATCAGGAGGCCCCCGATGATTGTACAATGACTCTCTCCTTCTAGGTCTCGGCACCGGCTTCGACGGCGTAGGGAGTGGCTTCAGTGGAGGATTCGGGAACCCCGGATTCGGTCAGCGGTCCTACAAGCACGAGGTCGATCCCGCGTCTGGAAGACAGACCTACAGTTTCTCCGAGAGAACTGGTCACTCCTCGGCTTCGTCTACGGAACAGTAATCTGTGATATTACCACAAAGAGCCCATGAACAGACTTGTTGAGAATAAAAAAAACACTATGACTGTGATCCTGACCCGCGTTCCCTTGAATCTTCACCTGTCCGGCTTCCTAGTTTGCGATCCATGATGGCTCCAAGTCGCTCAATGAGATCTTTCGGCGTCGGAGGTCTAGTGCCGTCTTGGAATGGGTTACGAGAAACGTCGAACTTCCAGCGGTATCCTGCAGGTGCAACTATGAGCCAAGAGAAATATCTACCAGCTCGAAATGGAGCTCTACCCACATCTCACTCCAACATGACTCTCGCACAATTCGTATGATCCAGCGTGAGATTAGGTTTTCAGGGACCACTCGCAACACATCGAAGCGGTGGAAACCCAAGGTTGAAGCGTGAATTACATCCACGTGAGTGATTCTCGCTTTCATGCCTGATCGGTGGGCTCCCGGCCGCAGGTCCTGTGACTTCTGGATGACATTTGCTCACGCTGACGTGGGGTGTCGACGCTTCCCTCTCTACCACCGATCACCTTCACGCCATCACTTTCCATCAGCGCGGTCGCCTATTCCCTCCTTCACGGTCTCGGGAAGCGTCTCGGGGGAATGAAAACGCAATTTTTCAAAAGGAGACCCCTCTCTTGCTTCCCGCAATATGGAGGGGGCTGCCGGCCACTGCCTCCCCTTAGAAAGAACGTCATCTGGCGGAGTGGAGGTGGCTTCGGAAGCTAACTCCAGGCAGCCTCGACCGTTCGGCGTTGGGGTTACCGAGTGTCTTCGTCTCTGACATGAACCAAACTTTCAGGAGAGATCTCATTTTTCGAGGCTCGGGGGTGACCCCCGATGATTGAAATCGTTCCCATCGGAGAACGAGGCGGAGCGATAGGTTCGATCTTTGGGTTCGCTCCCAGTGCTACCAGAGTTACTCTTGAGTGGTGACTTGTCTGGAAGAGCGTCCAGGAACGGATGGGTGGGATGTGGCTGCGCCGGTCAGGCCAGACATGCTATCGACCTGGAGGGGTTCCCCCTGGTGCTCGCGACGGAACTTGTGCAGAAATCTACTCTCGTAGTAATTGAGCTTGATCTCCAGGGCGAGTGCCGATCTCCTCGAAATCAGCAATCGAAGTCAGACCGCAAGGCGTCAGCAAAGTCTGCAGGTACGAGACTACCCGGATGATGAAGAGTCAAGGTGGCTGCCGGCCGAACACAATAAAGCTCTTCAAACACAATGTCTTCTCTCCATCTTCTATTTCGCAGAAAGGCGGTGCCATCGTGAACCAGTGCGCCGTCTGGCGACCCTCAACGGAAGCAAGCACCTTCGGGTTCTGGCAGCAGTCGGCGAGTGCGCTATTCGTGAGAAAGATGCCCACTGTAGACTTAGTCTACTAGTCCTGTTCATGGTGCCAGTGGAGAATCTGTTTTCCCCTTTTGGAACGAGAAATTGAGAGTGAAACCCGTGAATCTTTCGTGGTCCCAAACGGATAGGATCGCGACTGTCTCCTCGGTCTGACTGAACGAGGTTACAGAGTGCTAATTCCACCCGAGAGAAACTTAAGATCAAGTGTGTGTAAAGTGTTGAAGAGTTGGACTGCGCTTACTGCCTCCACTTCCAGTCTCTTATCTTTTTCTCGAAGCCAGCGACTATGACGTTCGCCCGTTCTCGTCTAGTCTAAAAAAGAGCGAATCGTATCAAGAGAATGTCGCGCTTCCTGAGATCAACTGTGTTGCTTGTTTGTGCAGTCCTGGAAGTTGGTCAGGCTGGTTTTTACGCTGACAATGGACTCGACCAGACGATCTCCTACCGTAGTTTGCCGAAGTCGGAAAAACGGGAGATGGAAAATGAAATCCTGAACTTGCTCGGCTTAGACCACCGGCCGAAACCCAAGGTGCATCAGACGACAAATTCGGCACCCCAATACCTCATCGATCTTTACAACCAGCTCGACGTCGAGGGTGACGATCGTAACACTTCGTTGCGTGGCGTGGACTTCGTGGTCAGTTTCGTCAACCACCACGACAACAAAGAGGACGAGCTGAGCATCGAGCCCAAACTGCGATTCGACGTGAGCGACATCTCACCCCACGAGACCGTGATGCGAGCTGAGTTGAATCTCTACCGAAAAGACACCCGCAAGACAGCGTCATCGATCGAGGACCAGCCGGGTGACGAAATCGTCGACGAAACCTCTCCGGCGGAAGCCTCCTCAGAGAGTTCAGAGCCTACATCCGCTAACGTGACCGCTACCACAGCCGAAGTTTTGCACGAGAACGTCACCGATTCCGAGGTGACAGCGAAGAAGAATCGCGCGAAGCGGCAGGCCAATTTCGATTATCTCGACGATTATCCCTTCTACGATCAGCCTTTCCAACTGCAAGTTCTGTCGATGCGGAGTGGTGGGATCGACTCGAAAGACATCGTCCTCGAATCTGTCGCCAACTACACGGTTAAGGCCAATGAGACTGGATGGATAAGACTCAACGCAACCGATCCGCTTTTGAATTGGGTAAATATCTCATCGCTCCACTTCGAGCTTCGAGCCCCACTTCGCCTTTCGGTGCAGATCTCCCTCAGGAAGGGAATCATTCAGTTTCGTCATGGAGTTCGATATCTTCCGCTGAGCCGGCGCCGTGCTCCTGCGTTCTGATTCCGGGTTCCCCAACGGAACGTGAAAGTAACCAAAAGCTAGAGACCATGGATATCTGTTATCTTCGGGATCTACGCTCTAGAAACGCATAATTAGTAATCAGCCACGGCCGTACGCTAATCGAGTCGTACGAAAGATGTTTGCTTTGGCTGACAGTTTGAACAGCGGCAGGAGCGGCAGCGGCGGCACTAGCGAGAGGAGGCCCCCAAGCAAACGCTAAAGTAAACATCTTCTTCATAGGTGGCATTTCCCGGCGAGAATTTCGGTCTGGTGGTCCGTCTTGTGGATACAGAGTCCGGTCTACAGCTATCCCCATCGCAGGTTCGTAAACGCAGCCCGATGAGCCCATTTCCCCTTCGACGACTTGCCGGACGGGCTTCGAGCGTATTGAGAAGAAATGCTCGCGCGGGTCCGACGTGGTTGCCTTCAAGAACATCGACCACATACTAGTAGTTCTCACGTCGTTAGCCTGTCGAACATCTCAATCCGTCGCCGCATGCAAACAAGGGCATATGATTACGGTATTCAGGCCGTCCCTCGGACGTTTGATTAAGATTCGATTTAAACTTCTAGGTTGGGCTTGTTATGGCTGGAGCCGGAGAACTGGCTCCATTCATGGCGGCCTTCGTCAAAGAAGGAGCTGGCGCCAAATCGAGATCGACCCGAGCTTCGGAGAAAACTCGCAGGGAGAAGCCGCCTATGAGATCGCTCAATGATGATGTGCCTTACTTCGAGATCAGGTATCATTCCGAGTCAATCGCATTTCTACAATCCCCTTCCGAATGATGGAGATTAGTTCGACAAGCGTCTGACGCCAATAGATTTTTTCGGATACCGGGAGCTTCGAAAAAACCTCGATCGGTATGTCTGATTAGAATCCAATGGTTCTCGGAATCTTTCAGACATCATTTCTCTCGGAGGAACGCGTGCCAGAAACGTACTCTCTATGTCTCGTTCAGAGATCTTGGATGGCAGGATTGGATCATCGCACCCGACGGCTACTCAGCATTCTATTGCGACGGCGAATGTTCTTTCCCGTTGAACATGAACGCGACCAATCACGCAATCGTGCAGACTCTCGTGCACCTGGTCAGCCCCGGGCACGCACCAAAAGCGTGTTGTGCTCCGACGAAACTCACGCCAATCATGGTGCTCTACTTCGACGACAATTCGAACGTCATCCTGAAGAAATACAAAAATATGGTCGTGAAGTCGTGCGGCTGCCACTAGTTCGATGCTTCGTACATGTTCAAAGCTGAAGTTATGCGTTATGATGTAAATCCTAAGTAGACCGGAAATGTCGGAACGCTACGACGAGCGCTGCTTTTGTAAATCTCCTTCGGTTCCTCAGCAATAAGAGACAAGTTGTTTCGAGGAATTTTCTAGGGCGTTGAAAATACGCGTTTAGAGCTCGCGACATCTGATACTGTAAATATCAATTTTTCCCCGATATAGATTGTACTATGTTGATAACACAGTGAGGGCGATCCAAATAAATAAGCGGATGGATGGAAGGAAGGGAGAGATCGTCAGTCATGAGGAGCCCGGTCCTGTCCAATACGTAGAGGACATCCCCTCTTCTTCGGAATTGTTCTTGAGCGTCGCTTCTGACGACTTGCCACCACCATCGAAGAAGAGCCACCTTGCAGCCACAGACGAACTGAGGGAAGGCCAGTGAAGCGAGAGAAAGATTCTTCAGCCAGTCCACAACTTAGACTCTCGCGGTCGGTGGCCGAAGGCCAGAGCGACAGCACGGCGCCATCTCATCGCTTAAGTTCATTGTGTGTTCCACGACCACTGGTTGACCTGCTGAAGGCGCTCCTGAAGGGTGAGAGCTAAAAGAGCTCCGACTTCCGTCTGAGAGCTCGAAGAATGTCATTTGCTCATCTCGTCGGCAGAGGCAATCGAAACCGAAATCACCGTTCGCCGTCGCTTGAGACAGTGAGGTTCGACAGCACAGATTCAAATGATCGACGCAGGCGAGATCTCTTTCACTGAGCTCCGGGGATAATGATATCACCCTCATGCGCAGCTCCGCAAGCGGGGACAATCAGGAAGGTCTCTCGAAAGCTATCCCTTCGGTCGACCATATACAAATGTCTCCGAAAGGATTCAGCAAGCCGACTTCAGAGTATGTCTAAGCTCCGGATCTTACACTTCGCTGAAAGCAGTATCCCGATCGATTCTTGTGTCGGCAGCGCTGAACATCTATTCCTGATTTTTAGGTCGCTCACCTCCTTGATTTTCGGCCCGCAATCGGAATCATCCGGCAACGTGCCGTGACCGAGGGTCACCAATGACGGAGATCTTCCAGGAAGACTCGTCAAGATTTCCGTCGGCGCGGCGTCTTCTCAGGAAACCTCTTGCGCTCGTATAGGATCTCACGAGATTTACGATACAGGAGGTACTCTCAGCGGAGAAGATTCCATGGGTCCCTATCAGAATTATTCTACGGGCACTTCTGTAGGGAGCACCACACATGAGCTCGAATTGAGGCTGTCTCGTCAGTCTTCGCGGGATGAAACGGATCTGAGTTCTACCACGGGGAAAGGGGGGCTTCCGTTCGACGTGCAGGGGTGTCGGATCCATATGGTAATACATATGCATGTTTGCTTTCCCGAAGACTTGGGCTAAACAAGGAAATGAGACTCCGGAATAACACTCAGTCAATTATTATTTGACAACTCAGTCCGGAGAACAGTCAGACTCAGGAGAATACGAATACGAAGAATACGAAGTCGTTGCCATCGAATTGAAGGAAGAAAGAAGCCTCCCCTCAGGTCAACTACCGAGTCTCTGAGCTCACCGGATCCTTGCCATCCGGGTTGAGGATTCACCGTCTTCCTGAGGGATGGTTTCCCAGAATCAATCCTCACGATCCTTCCTGACTGACGAATTCTACATATGTATAGTCGAGAGGAGCTTGCAATCATGACTCGAACCTCTGCGTGGCCTTAAGGGCGAAGAGACGAAATGTGAAGAATCGCTTGTAGATTTTAGAATAGGAGAATAGCCCTGTGCGGCTGCAGTCGAACTCTTATTCGAGGAAAATAGAGCTGGATGATGATTGGGACTAGCGCCCCTCAAGCTCAAAACGTCATCGCTCTCCTTGTCGGACTACAATCTGGATAAATTCGAAAGGTGTCCTAAAGCCACCGGTGGGCAAGAGAGGCTGCTCGCCTGCTCGCTTGGTCTCTTTGCATGCCGACCTGCGTGCTCACGCGCGGGACCGTGAGTGACTACCGCTCGATTACTGTGACTGTCAGACACTTATTCGGCTAGTCATTCAATCAGTCCTTGCCAACTTTGACCCGCGGTGCCGGTATCCTGGTTCCCTGGAGACGGCGCATGCGTTTGTGTTGATTCCCGAGCTGGGAGCGTCACAAGACACAGACGTCTGCCTGAGAGATGTGAGTTGTGACAGTCGGTGAGCCCAGGTTTCTACGTGAGCATGCAGGCCTTCCTCTCCGTGAATGAGTGAGCTCCGGATAGAGCATCGCCAGAAAGCAGGATTTCTTGTCAAGATAGCACCCTGAGGAACTTCTGAAACTGTGAGCATATTTTCTAGTGCGCGTAGGCTTTTTGACTCTTCGAGAGAGCATCAAAACCGCGAAACCGGGAGCGTTTCCCAGGGCGTTGCCTGTGAGGCTTTCAATTTACGACTCGAAATCCTGCTCCACAAATCCGCGAAAGCCATTCCTCGAGAACAATAGAATTTTCCAAACTTGTATCTCCCCGGTCAAAGCGCTTTAGCGGCCTGACTTACTTTCTTCGAGTAACAACGGCTAACGATTGAATGATTTCCGAGAAGATATCCTCTGAAAGCGAGCAGTGATTTCGCGGACTTCACGGAATCTCTTGTTCAGTTTTATCGCGCGGCTAATCTGGCTTTGCGCAGTAAAACTCATTTTGATCTACACATCTATGGGACTGGCATGATTTAGCCGGAGCTCGTCGTTCCTTTCTTGAACCCCGATGTGAAGCTCATATGGAAATGTTGGGAGCTCTGCTTTCGACTAACTTCGAAAGCATCGGTTCGGAAGGGCGAGCCGCGCACTCAGTGCATTTGAACCGATACCGGAAAGAAGCCAGTCATCACAAAAAAAGTGAAAGGATATCGGGTCAGCGATATCGAAATCGATTGAAAGAGGAAATATAGTAGAGGCCGGTCATATTTTTCATCTTGCTCGGAAACAGGGCAAGGAAGAAGAAGGAGCGTCGATGCTCGTCGTCAACCTCGTCGAGGGGGGACTCGGATCATCGACGAGATGATTTCAGAGACGAACGTGAAGAAAAAGCGGATAAACAGCGAGAAGAATTTCGAGACGCGAGACGAGCGGATCGCAACATGGAGATATATCATTCCGGGAACCCTGGCCGGGAACGACCCAGCTCCGACAACCGATTCGCGCATATCCAGAGACAGTCTCGCATAGACTCATCCTCCGAAGAAGATTCACGGGGCGGGGCAAGTAGACGGAGATCGCGCTCCACAGAGCGGGAAAATGGCTCCCGGCGACGCGGATCGCCGCGAATAGCTCCTCCAGAGTCGAGCTCGAGACACCGCAGGCACCAATCGAGGAGCAGGTCTCGAGACCGCTCGCTCGACTTCGATGGCGACCAGCCGCGCAGGAATGGGACGAGAGATGGAGTGTACGGAGAGGCAGCGAAAAAGCGCAACAGGCACTCAGAGCACGATCCCGACGCCGATAGCCCACGCGAGACCTCCAGATCGAGGTCGAGGAGGAAAATCCTCGAGGGAGAAGAAAGGAAGAACGCGTATACCGAAACCGAGGCTTCCAGCAGTAAGGGTGGAACGAGGCCGAATATCGATGAAGACGTTTTCGTGGAAGTGGACTTGTCGCGTCCTTTGGAAAGAGACGAGAATCGTCAGAGGGGAGTGGTCAATCGAGGATACGAACATTCGGAAGTGGAATTGCGACAAAAGAAACACGAACCAGAGGCTCGAGATGTGAGTTGGCGGAACGGGATCGTGAATCCACTCCACGAACCAGGCGAGATGACGTATAGAGCCCGAGAATTAAATAGGGTGCCCGATCCTCGGTGAGTTTGGCGATCTCCTGACACTTCGCTCATCGATATTCGTATGAGCGAATCAGGCTCCAGCATAAGGTTGTTCCAGATCGACTCTCTGTCAACGGACGGATATGCTGCTCGGCGTTATGGACACCACAAGGTCTCTCGCTCAGACGGACAATTTCGTCTTTGAGAACCCCAAGGGTGGACGAATTTCAGCTCATATAGCGGCGGCTGCATCTTCGGTAATTAGTCCTTATTCCCCACCAATCTATCCGATACCGGGAGCGGGATGTCCTTTATGTCTTTGAGTCTTCGAACATGTAGCAGAAACAATTGAAAATCACCTCCTTTGTAGCTTGAAGCCGTAATGGGACTCGTGGTCGGCACGTTCCTGCTGATAGACGCTGAGAACCAGAGTGAGTGAGAGCGAAACGCAGATCGCAGCGAGTAGCGAATGGTCGTGTCCGATACTCATTGAAATCATCCTCCCCGTCCTTGAAAGAGCCGAATTCAGAATCCCGGGATTGATATAGTGCCTTCGAATTGCAGAAATCGTGGATCACAAGCCGTACATTGTCTACACATATTTGATCCTCCATGGCTTGGCTCTTCTGTCGAGCGGTCTGCTCATCTGGGCCAACAAGGTTCCTCTATGCTTGGGCATTTTGCTACAGATCCGAATTCTAATGTGCCCGAAAGCGGGAGCTGACAGGAAAGATCCTTCCAACGTTCGATTTCTTTTAGAGAGGTCAATTAGACTTGATCGTTGCCTGGATAGCAATTCAGATTTGTACAGGAGTCGTTTTCATCTGCGGGACCCTCGTTTTCCTGGTGATCGAGTTGAGCGCGAGCGTGAGTTACCGTATTCGAATCGCCAGCTAATCGCACTCGAATGTCTCTTTTAAACCGAGTCTCCCTATTCGGATATTCCACCGGGGTACCACCATCAGCTGAATAAGCTCTCAGAAAAATTGCAGGTCCCGTTAGAGGACTTCATACTTGGCGTCCCTTTCATCTACTTCAGTTCAGCGTTGTTTATTTTCATCGTGATTAAAGTATGTTGGCAAGGTATACGGTTCGTCGCCATTCTCGACCTCTCACCACACCATAAGGCGTAGATCCGATTGTAAACTCGAATGAACACGAATTCCAGGTGCTCACAGTGTCAGCCGTCATTTTGAGATATCGGAAGTTGACCTGGATGCCGAAACTGGTGAGTTCATGGGTATCGGCTGGAGACACAGTGTAGAAGCCATTTCCAAGGCAGTTGAGAGTCTAGCGCGGGAGCTCATCGCATCGAGCAAGGGCTCGGCTGGGCAGAAGGCTTCCCTCATGATGGACGTGAAGGGATCAGCGGACTGAGCCTTCCATATGCAAAAGGCTCCTTGAACAGGAAAAACTGACGATATACTGGGAATCAGGCCGGCCCACTGTAAGCAAGGAGTCCTCATTGCGGTCCTCAGTAGAGGATAACCTGTACAGATAGTGACTCCCGGGCGGCCTCTCCCTTTCTGACATAAATCTAGCTTCGAAACTCGTCAGCTCGAACCTGTGCGTCGGCCGGCTCCTGGTCACCGTTTGCGGCCTCGGTTGAGGGATTGATAACTTCAACGCGTTTCGTTTCCAGTCCACCGTCTCGGCTCGAAGACCCGTCCCGAAATGGACCGATTATCAACCATCCCCAGATGAGCGTAGGTGAGCGAGGTGATGCATCTTCAGCTGACCAATTCTGACTTCAATGACCTTCGAAATCCACGGAGTACTAGCCTCACGGTATACGCGGTTTATGTCCGAAGGAAAGCGCGCATCAATGAACTTCCTCAAGTGGAGTTTGAGGCAGAGTCGACTGATCAACGGGCGTCCGACCCTGTCACGAATCTGATACGCAAAAGTCGGCCCCCGTCGAGAGTTCCTCCTCCACCGCCCAAGCGAGTGGACAGTGTCCACAATGGCATCGTCGAGTCCTCCGGCTCCTCTTGCTCCGCCGCGCCCCCCGAGCCTCTCAACACATGGATACCTCGGATCAAGAAAATGGAAGCTGACCCGTAAGACATTGGGGTGATGGAATGATACTCTTCCCTGTTTCTTGAGCACTTTTTCCCTAAGCGCATCCTGCTCTTCCAGCGACTTGACCGCGGCGCGCGCTTCCGGGGATCGCAGCCCATCCCTGCGGCAAGGTTCTGCGTATGCGCAGCCCCGATCTGCGCATTCCGAGCGAGGAAGGCCATATTCTGAGATTGCGCCCTTCGATTCTCGAGGAAATCGCTTGACCTCGAGGCCGCACTCGTCGTATTTCCCACAGGAGCCACATCATCGCGAAGCTCCCTACGAAAGAGGAGGAGCATCCGATTGTCCTTTCCGAGAAAACTCGATGCAGCCGGCGATTCCCGGTTTTCGAGTAAAAGCAGACACATCGCATTTTCGGCAAGAGTCACCGAACCCAGAATATCGCCTGCGGCAGCAAAGACCTGAGGCAGCTCATACAAGCCCGGATAGGGATGAGGATTACCGACCCATCCCGGCGATTAGGCACAGCAAAGCAAATCGTCCGGAAGCCGGAGGGCCTCATCGACCGTACACTGTTGGCAACAGATATCTGCCACCGGGTGCCGTTCCCGCAATCGGTAGCCCCGAGGATTGGCAGCGTAAGCAGCACCAATACTCATACGGCATGCCACGGACCCGTCACGGGGAGGCTTTGAAGAACTCGAGAGCTGCTCCTCAGTACTCCGAGCCAGAGGCGGACTACTTCTGAAAGGGATGCATTGCAAGTTGGATCGATTACCGGAGGCCCACCGCTGCGAAATATTCCGGGCATAAACCAATAGTAACAATAAATCGGAGATCCGAGCCTACTCTTCATCTCCTGCCAGCATCGATTTTCTCATTGCGGCCAAGAACACCCGGTGCTCCCAAAGGATGGCATTGTGATCTGCTACCGCCAGCGCGGGGGCTCATCACCGTGATTTCAAGATGTCAGGAGACGGCGCCAAGTCTCTTTCATCTCGAGAACTTGTCGCTGAATCGATACATAGCTGCCGCTCAAACACTTGCCTCCGCTTCCACGACGAATCAGAGAGTGTGCAACAGACACGAGCCGCTCATGACATCATCATCGTCATCGAGTTGTGATACCGGTCTGACCTACTGAGCAACGGCGCTCCACTCACGTTCACCGTCAACGGAATTGCAGATCGGGAGACGAATATCTAGGATCTAGGGAGAGTGGAAATCAGTGTTGAGCAGTTTGAGCATCGGACCCTGCTTCGAATATACATACCACACTGTGGATGGAATGCAGAAAGAGACAATCAGATATGGTGAAACGAAGGAGCTTCATTCATCTCGAAGTATCGGAAGCAATGTCATCCGACCGACACGAACGAAAATTTTGTTTCAATCATTTCTCCCCCGTTCTCTGCTCGGTGAGCGGACGCATTGGCAGACCGACCCTTGGAACCACTGCGCCCGCTATATACGCAGGAGCTATTGCAGAGGTGTTTCCCTGATGGTCCGATCCCCGAAAACCGAACGCTGGGCACCTCTGGCACCGACGAGTGTGGATAAAGAGATCCGCTCTACAGACTCAAATCCGTGCCTTCCGAACCACAATAGAAGGACGGCGTACTCTAGTACCATATGGTATATACCACATGAGTTTCTTAGTCAAGAAGGAGGGTTTTCCGACAATCACTGGGCGGAGGGGTAGAAGATGAAGAGAAAACATCAACTTGCATACCGGGGCATGATTCCGCAAGCGCCGAAGCACATGTGCGCGAAAATCGGTGGGAAGAAAGAGCCGAAAAACGGCTCACAAACGATGCGTTTGCGCTTTTATTCTATAGGGGGGATAGGGGGGATGATACCTCTTAATTTAAGGCGACCTCAAGCATGGTACACGGCAGAGCGAGGAGCTCTCACTTCTCCTCTTTCCATTGATATCAGTAGCAGGCGTGCCGGAAAGGGTCGAGAGGGCACGCTCGGCGGGGTGCTCTCACAAAGGCCGATTAATTATATCTCCACTGTATTCGGATACTTAATAGGCCTCCCCGCAGAAGCGGACGCTTCTTCAGTCACTGTACCGAGCGTGACCACCGAAGACGGTGCTCCCGAAGATGAGAATTGAATACTACGAGGAGCACATCGCCTCTCTCATGGTTGCAAAATTCATCCTAGTCCGCCCCTTGATTATCAAAAAGCTCTTATCAAAATATAGATTGTGTATCAAGGAGGAAGGTTTATTAAGATTGACTTATCGAGGTCGAAATTGAAGGGATGGGCTCCGAATCCATTGATTCCTTCAGCCATCTCAGCTTCATAGCTAAGGGTGAGCGTCTGGTTCCTCAAGGGGCGGCTGGTCATCAAGGACCTCCAACGGGTAGAGTACTTGAGCGGCCGTTCACGTTGACGACCCGCTAGCCAACCTAATGGTTTTGACTCGGACCTTCCCGTCGCGCCCGAGATGCTGCTCGACGATTCGAACCAGTTGCGACCTAACTCGGGGCAAGTTGTCGTCTTTGAGCAAGCAGACCCGGCCGACAGGAATAGGCATTGTTGGAGACCCCACGGTCGCGTTTGCGTCACGAAGCAGCAGAAGACACTCTCGGAACCATATCATCGCTCACCAAACCACCAAGAGGTGCCCGATGCGGCCCACCCCTCAGGAAACGGGACGGGAAGATCGGTGGCGGGCTATGGGGATCCTTTGACACGTACGTGAGCGGACGAGAGTTCATAATTGCGGCGTGTTCATACAGAATTGTTCCGAACTCCCCACAATCCATAGGCGTTCGTCCCAAAGGTTCCAGCATTGCGGGTTTGACGATGCCTACCATGCGTTCGAGAAATCCTCCGTGGAATGTCGAATTCAGTCGAAGTCCGAATTCAGTCCGTGACTTGCTTCCCACCCGACGGTTGATGATGCGGCCGTGCCGTCGAGCTCGTTGAAGCCTTTCGGACGTCATATGTTGGGCCTCCGCGCGAAACTGATCGTGAAAACTGAGCGGTGTACACTCCCCTGCAGCCATTCGGTGCGAAGTGTCTTGCTGCTCGGAGTCATCGCTGCCCGGGCGAGTGAATCGCGATAACGCAGTTTCCACGCGTCAATGTCTCTCTGTGAAGGGGAAAAATAATAATTCGCTCAAATGAAATTCGAACAGCCGCCAGGATCTCTCTCTTTCCGCTGAGGTTTTCCGGCAGGTAGATTCGACGATCTCAAGACGCAATGAACAGATCAGGAAAATCGTCTCGGAATTCACTTCCAGGGAGACGCGACTCCTCTGCGGGAGTCCGGCCAGTATCATGGGACGTTGGATGAGATCGCTTGGAGCTCGCTATTAAAATCGCTATGGAGCGTCCCCGAAATGACGGATTGTTCCTGGAGTCTTTTATGAATAAATGGTTCGCTGGAGTTTCGCAAGAGTACGCATGGTAGGAGTCGTTGATCGGCACGACGCTCGGCTGAATCCGACCTGTACCGTCTCCTGCGAGACCGGTCACTTGTCATTGCTATTAATCCGGGGTGGGGGCACGGAATGAGAACGACCATCTGTATTCGTCGGTGCTCCTACGCTGCAACTGCGCGTGGCTTCGAGATCTTGTAAAAAGAAAATGCTACGATACTCATATAACTTTGGTTCAACCTGAGAGTCCTTGTTCGCTCGGTCCGTCCAGAGAACGAGATTAATTACTTGTTCTGAACTACTGAGTTTTCAAGTTTATTCTTCAAGGAATGATTAATTCATGTAACTCGTCGGATCACGAATTTCCACTTGTAAAGAGGAGGCAGATGGAGAAAGGCAAAGGCTGAGTGGTACCGGGCTCGCGACTGGAGAGTCCTGGCCCTGCCCTGTTTTGCTCCCCACCCGAATTGTACAGTATCCGCTGCTGAGCTGCTGAGGGCGGAACTCTTGTGTTCCATTCCAACATATATAAACGCATTGCTTCTACTTCCCCATCGCAACATCGCCGAGTCCATCTCTTGAAACAACCTCCCGAGTCAACATGAAAGCTTTCGCTGCCTGCGTCTTCCTCGCCGCAGTAGTCGCCATGACTTCTGCGGCGCCTGCCGCAGCGGTCGACGGTAAATCCCTCGCAACTCCCACCGTCCCTTTCACCGCAGCCGCGCACCAGGAATCTTCATTTGACAAAGGTGGTCAGCAAGCCAGCTTGCCTTTGGCTAAGGAAGCCTCGGATACGACCTCGGTGCACACACTGCCAACTCCGACTCGTCGTGGGCAAACCGGCATCCACTTCCGTAGTAGCAGAAGCCTTGCTTTATGAGATTTTGGCACATGGCAGACTTCATCCTGTGGAGCGGAGAAAGCTTCGTTGGCTCGTTTCACACGGATTTCGCTGAAATGGAACCCTCCTTCGGGAGCGGATCGCGGAGCGGGTTTTAGCCCAGGATAGGCTATTCACGCTGTCCGTGGCGAAGCGCGGTAACTCTGAATAATTTCCCTGCTGATTAGGACTCACCTCTCTCCATAGAACAGCGGCGGTCTCGTCGTATGTCGATACCAGGGTCCATCCTAGAAAGAAAGGAATGTTCTTCCCGTTCCGGTGATCGCCGAACGATCTCGCGGAAGTCTTGCTCGGATCTGTTATCTTCAGCGAGTTCGACTGGAAATCCGCCGCGAGTTCGAGTCGTGTTTTCTCAATGATTCTGAGGGGTACTCACGAGATTCGTAGATTCCTGACCGTGCGCCTCGAACTGGGGTCTCGAGCTGCTGCTCAAGTTTCGTGGTAAACTCGAATGTGTCTGGCCACGATCTCGCGCATCTCTGCGTAGGTTTTCGAGCTGCTCGGAGCGGGACGAAAATGCAAACTCATCAGCTGATGTTGATTATGGCTTGCGGAATCTCCGTGATGCTTCAAAGTCATGGTACAATCCGCGCCACGAGAGAAAGTTTGACGTAGTCATGATTTTCCGAAAAAGGTTCGAGCTCTAGCAACTCAGTTCTCACCTCCAGCTGCGGAGTATTTATGCGGCACATCGCTCAGTCGCCTCGTCTTCGAGAAAACTCTGCCTTCTGGATGGAGCTTCGGCACTCGACCTCGATCGGAAAACACGACATACACGTTGGAGCTTCACACGTGTTCGTGTACACGTTTACGTTCGAGCTTATGTCGGACATCTACTTGTTGTACTCTCGGCGTCCCGTAGGTTTCAGCAAGAGCGGAGACTCTCATGGAAACTCCAGGTCTCACCCTGATTTCAATCAGTCTCTGAGGCGCCCCAACTGGAATTGACTTCTCGGCGTATCTGAATCCGGAGGGACTCGCTGTGGATTGACTTGCCCAAGATCACAAAATCGCGTTCCTCGACTCACTTGAGGAGTCAGACATGATCACGTCGAATATCCAGACTCATAGAAGTCCCCGATAACTTTTCGTTGAGGCTCGCAAAGCTCTCCTTCGAACCCGATTCTGACAAAGCTTTTCCGTGTCTCTCCGCTTTCTGGAGGATGTTTCCGACCATCACGAGCTAAGTCGCGAACCATCGCACCGAAACGGTATGTTTCCGGGATTGGGAGCCTGGATATTGGTCGCGGAAGATTCCGTGAGACTCACGAGAGGGCCCGCATTCCTCAAAAACAGGATAACTCACCGCCAGTGATCTGCTGCAGCTGAAGGTGAGGTCTTGCCGGTAGTGGAATATTCGAAAATATTCATAGGCTCAATGAATCGACTGCGGGTGAAGTTGTCTAGGGTCTAGGAGATCTCCAAGAATAAGTAATTTCCCTTGAACCTTCGACGATTCGGACAAGATTCATCACCGTTCGACGCAGGCTCCCACGCCGGTCGAGCTGGTGCTTTTTGAATAAGCCCTCGAATAAGTTTGCTGTGATCACGAATTCCATGAAATCAGTGACCGTAGATCACGAAGTTTATGTCGACAGTCCGGAGTCGGGAAGCCGATTAAGTTGGTCAGATGACACCGTGACTTGAAGGATTACTCTCTCATGGATTTATACAATGAAACTTTTGGACACATGACGGACGAGTTCGGAGTCGTCCGTCCTGAGGCGAAGCTCCGAGGCAACGACAAGAGCTCGACGTTCGGATTTTTCCAGGCGATGGCAGCGATGGTGGCAGAGTCCGCGAATCGAATGCATGGGACTACCCGTCGCAGGACGCACTTCGCGTAAGCACATGGGTTCACGGGCTCGACGGCTCTTCTTCATATATTTAGCGCTCATGATTGGTGAATCTGATGGATCTGCTCGTCTGGATGAGAGACGCCTCTCTACGCAATAAGAGACTTGAGCCGTTTGCTTTGATCAGTTTATTCAGCGGTCACGTGCCGGATATTATCGTCGCGCACCGAGTTCTGGTTTGAATCCCAATCCCATCTTCATGTATTGAAGAAAAATCCTGAAAGGAATATAATCGAGTCGAAGCCTCATGCAATCGATTCCTGACGTCTTAGGATGACAGGACCAGACGAGAAGAAAGGAGGAAATCCTAGGACGAAGAGTTGATACATCGGACGAGTCCACGCATTCTGACACGGCGATCCCTCTGCCAAGGTTGAGACGTCCCACATGAATGAGGATTCGTCAGATATTTCGAGCTTCTTTCCGGGACAGCGTCGAAAACGTCCCCAGAAGGCTGTCCTCCCAGCATGCCCATGATATGGGGGAAAGCTGTACAGATCGCAAATCATCGTTCAATGCTCGTTCAATTCTTCGAATTCAAATGTCGTGAATTGTCGCTCTCTTCCCGCTCTCCACTTAACTCTGGGAACGAGTCAACGCCGCGCCAAGACGCGACGCACAGTGGGGCCAAACCCGATTTTAGGCGGCAGAAACTCAAATTCTCGAATCGGGGAAAAAATTGTCGCATCGTGTAGTAGGATAGCTGGGGACTCCAAAAAGACATGCCTCTCCGCTAGCGGAAATCTCAGTTGTTAAAACGAGACCGTCTTTCTGGAGAGAATTTTCCGCTCGGGCCGTCTGATTTTCTCATTGCATCGTTGTTTTCGCATCGCGACAAGTCAGATCGATCCAAAAAGGATTCAAACGTCGAATGTGAGTCTAAATACGCTATAAACTAGTCGATGATGATCTTTTCCGATGCCGGAACCGATTTCCGAGGTCTCTCCTCGATTTTTTTTTGTCCCGAAAAACACTCCTTTCCGCCAAGCTTCTTCATCGAAAAAAAGTGTTTCCGAGGGCTTCCCACGGGGCGCCAATGGTCAAGAAATCTTCTCCGACTCTTGGTCTTTCCATTCCTGCAATAAAAAGCTCGGCAAGTTCCGGCCATTTATGGATGCGGGCATCTTACAGATCTCCATGTCGTGGTCGATAGGAAAGAATTTGCTGAGAAATTCATAGAGGTCTGCGGCGGGAAACCCCTCGATGACATGCTCATTTTCGTCTTGAGCCGCGCAAATGTGAACCTTCTTCAACTCGTGAATCTTGAGGACCTCAGAACCAGATCAGTAGGTGTGTGTCTCGAGTCAATAAGAAATATGACGCACGTAACCGCAAGTGAGCGCGATTCTTCAAATGTGAGTCGGATTGGCTCGATAATGAGGGCTTCAAATTCGAGCTCCGAGTCAGTCTTCCGCCACTTGAGGAAGAAAGAATGCTCGGGAAACCCCGCCCTGGGGGGCGCCCATTGAAGAACTTCTCAGACCTGGCGGAGAGAACCAAGAGGGATAGAGTGAAGAATCATTGCTGTAGGCTCTTAATAGAGAGTACGGATTGCAATATGGTGAAATTCTAATCTAAAGTCACCATCCAAAGTCGCCGACGAACAACATGGACGCATCCGACCAATTTTTGACGAGACCGTGACTCAATTAGGGCTTCCGCTGGGGGAATTTCCCGGCTCGAGAACAGTAGAGCATGCTCGAAGAGCAAGAAAGGGGAGGGGCGGAAACACTCGATTGCTGACCCTATCCTAGGGTCGATTGGGACGCGACAGCATGATTTACGTGGATCCCGTATCCAGAATTTCTCAGAGATGACCAGATCGAGCTCGAGGCACGCGAATATCTCGAATGATTCGAAGAAATAGTTTCTGCCGCCTAAAATCGGGTTTGGCCCCACTGTGCGACGCCTGCGTCTCGGAACGGAAAAAACGTCAATCGCCTCCGACATATAGACGTCAATCTCTTGGTGCTGATTTGGATTCGAAAAGCTATATACATGAGAATGGTCCCGATCCACGAGATCAGATCCCAACTTTGGCTGGACAGTATTCGAGAACCGCTAGGTTTCGCGCCTCAATTTTTTTCCTGCGGCCAGTAGAGGTCTGAAACTCCCCAAAAGGAAGAAAATCAGAGGGGGGACACGTGGGCGCACCGCATTTCTGACATCGAGAATTTAACGAATTTCCGAACTTTTTCGTCTCGGCGAAAAAGTCTTCCCAACAGGTCCAGAATTCGCTGACTCGACCGGAATCATGTGGGATTGCGAGATCAAGGTGGGAACTGAGCGCAGAAAATAATTTTCCCCCAATGCGAGGGCACGAAGTATGTTCATTTCCGAGCATCACCGATTGGGGGGAGAAATTCATGAAAATCGTCGTAAAAATAAAAAAATCAATTTTATTCTCGCAGGTGCCAGGGTGGCTGGGGGATGCGGGAAATGCGGCAATCATGGTTCCCCCGCGACTTTCAGAGTCTTGAGAACATTTTCAAACCCATGACCGATCGAAATTCCGGGATCGATACTATGGACTTTTGTCCACCTAAAATTCGATTTGGCCCCACTGTGCGGTGTCGCCCCACGATGAATGGCACGAGTGGTGGTACGGATGAAAAGAGCTACACAGGTTTTCGCTCTCCTGCCGTCGTTCTGTGGAGAATGGTCCACAAAAATCAAGGCCAGGGACCCCGAATGGAGCCACGAGATCGACCCGGACCGCTAGCAACGGTGCTTCAATCTGCGTTGCGGGCCACCCGCGCCGTTTCTTGCATATGGCACAACGTAGCAGAAGTTTCTTGATTACCTGTCCGCCCGGCGTTACCCAGAAGCGTTTGCGTGGGTGGAAGAGCACTGAGGCACTTCCACAGGGTACAGAGCCGTGTAGGAGTGCGAAAATTATCGGATTTCTATCCATAGAGCTCGAAACCGTATAATATTTGACTTCGAAAATTATCAGATTCCTATCTACAGAGCACAGAGCCGCATGCAGTGGCGGCACCGGCGGGAAGCTTTGGAAGCCGTAGTCGCCCTTTTAAGGAGGAAAGTCTCCGCTTTTTCCATGCGCCCAGTCTACGCATAATAAATACTTTCAAGTGTATGAATGACTATAGCCTCATACAAAAAAAAACTTCGTGCCTCCGAGCGCTGTGACTTCCTGATTCGGCGGGGACGCGATATCCGAAGAATTCTAGCTTCCCCAAAAAAAATGCTTGCGCCTCCGCGGGCCGTATGAGAATCAAGTCCGAAAATTATCGTATTCCCATCCACAAGGCACAAAGCCGCATAAGGATCGAGTCCGAAAATTGTTGGACTATCGTCCACAGAACTCACAAAAATCAACACCGGGAATCCTCGATGGAAAAGATCTGAAAATTATAGGACTCCAATCCTCTGAGCATAGAGCCCTCGCGAGAATCAACACCGGAAATCCTCGGAATAGGTAAGCCGAAATTTATCGAAGTTATATCTACTGCATAGAGCCCCTGGAAGAATCAAGTCCGGTGAAAAACCCCCGCCCTCATGACCCAATATCATGTAGCTCCCTATTCGTCCCAAGAACCAAGGAACGTACCGATAAAAGATCAGCCTGCCCGGTCAAACTCTGAGCTCGAAACAGGTGCATGGAGTATGGTAGGGAATCCCCCTCCCGGTTAAAGAGCCATTTTGGAGCCAACTGTACGAGGTTTCCGAGGCGTGATCCTCGCCACTACCCTCCGAACTCGGTCCCCCTAGTTCAGTTACTTTTGACGAGTAGCATTTTCTCTGATCGGTAAGCGAAGGTCGAAGAGCAGAGAATTTCGTTCGAGAGCAACAATAGCCCCAATTGTCGAGGAATCCCAGCAGACACGCTACTTCCCGGAATCCCTAAAACGTCGTCGGCTCGTCACCCGTCTCTTCAATCCTCTCCTAGAAATCCTGGGAATCATTGGAGATCTTCTGGATCGTCCTCAGGATGAGTCAACACAAGGTGGTCCTCCGTCGACATTCTGCGGACGAATTTCGAAGAAGCATGGTCTTCAATGACTACCCACGGAATCTTGACGTCACTGTAACGGGTGAGCCGCTCGAACTGCGTTGATAGTGACACGGTCTCCGGTGGGCTTTGAACACAATCCACTTCCCGCCAGGCTTGAATCTTCGAAAGCAATATCGGCAAAAGCGGTGGAATCAGAACGTAGAACGGGCCGGTGTCCGAATGTTTCCGACGAACATGAGACTAACTTTCTCCCCGAGGTTTCCCACTGCCTACGATTGCTTTACCTTCCGAGAACATCTCTCGCCGATGATTGTATTGGGGAAGGAAGACACTTAAGAACTCGGTATGATCCCGACCCGCACATGAGTGTTTAGATATTTATGAAGTTGACGACTCCGAAGCGGTGATCTGAACGAGCGTGAAGAGCAACGACTCCGAAACTTCGGCGGCATAATGGCGAAGACTCTGCTCCTTCTAGGATATTTGTGCGCCACGGGCTATGCTTTCCTGGACATCAAAGTTCCATCGATGTTGTATAACAGCCATTCGGACTCACCGGCTGCGCGTCATGCCTCGGAGTTTGCCGGCGCGATGAAAAACGTGAGACTTCTGGCTACGAATTGGAGCCTCCAATCGAATTCATAAATCTCCGTCGTACCGCTTGCTTCTATTGTGAGCTATATGCTTTAAATCCAAAATCGATCGGACTGTATCACAGATGAATATCCTCTCCGCAGTCGAAACTTATGCGAGAATTCGTACCGATTCTCAACGAGCCACCTTCGCTGTGGAAGAACGACAAAATCAAGTTGAGGAAACCCAAAGCACCAGTTCTTGAGATCCCGGAGGAGCATTGTGAGAAACACAAATACATACATAGTTCATTCAATCATTGAGAGTATTCACTATCAATCGAGAAATTCTCCGAATTGCGTTCGTCGTTGCAGTCGAAGAACTGAAAGCTGCCTTGCACTTCGTGGAAATGGAGGAGAAAACTCGGTGTGCGTTACCCAGCCCCCGCGTAATCTGCGTTCAGGATCACTACCCGAACGAAGATATAGTCTACAGGCCGGCTTGCACCATCCTGCACAGGTGAACTTCGTTCGATCCTTTCCATTCCGCAATCCGATCTTCTCAAGTCTACCTTTTTTTTTAATTTAAACCCTTTCCGAGAAAAAACTTTATGCCGACTCGGCCGGTCAGCGAGATCGGGACACGATCCCGCTTGCCCCGGGGAACACTCTTTGTTAAGACAAAATGTTAAAATACTCAGGTGCAGTACCGAATCCGGATGCTGTAAAGACCCGGACAAGGTCTGCTCGGTGAGGGATCGAGAGAGAGTCACACTCTACTTCGATGACGCGAGCAAGGACTCTCCAGCTCTGAAACTTACTTTCACCAACCACACGTCTTGCCATTGTGGAATGAGCATCGGAGGGGAGGAATTCGCAACAAAAGAGGAGGATTCTCCGTTGGATAATGGAGTGCAACACGACGAAGACGATCGGCACGCCGAAGTAGACGAGATCGCTTCTTGTCCTAAGTGCCCGATTCCTTTCAGTAAGAGGTTTTCTCGAGGCATCTGTCAATGTGATTGTTTCGAGGGTGATACGACGTGCATAAGGATAAAAGACGGACGAGAACCGCTGGAGCCAGAGGAGCGTAATTGTGTCCGACGGAAGATTTGTAATGAGCCTTCCTGCTCCACGGGCAGACATTATAACGAACGATTCGGTGAGTGTCGGAAACCATACTACGAGGAGATCGTCGGAACAACCGAGACCACAAGCGAACATCAGAAGTCGAGTGACATCGGAAAGTCCAAACGGAGGCGTCATCGGATGAAGAAGGTCGAGCATTCGCCGATCGAATGACGGGTCCCTCGGAAGAACTATCATATTCCTCAATTCCACGCTTGAGATATCAATTGAGATCTTGTACAAATGATGTAAAGAGACCGAGTGGCAGGCGGCAGCTACGACTGGGAGTTCCCGCACAGAGCCGCGAGAGAAGATTTGTGTATGTATATGGCGCGAAAGTTCGAGAAACAAAGGTCGCTACGGAAAGCGATATCTCGGAGTTGTATCATATTCGTCGACGAGGAGAACCTCGAATCATGAGAAGATGAATGTCCGGGATTGCTGCCACGGAAACTGGCGGAATAATCTCGTTCGTGCTCGGAATCTGAAGCATCTGAATAAAGAAACTAAGACTAGAATGAACAGGGCAGTTCTCTCTGGTGTCCATCTATCTTCTGAGCGATCGATTCAAAACGAATGTACTGCTCCCCAGTCCGCAGTGCTCAAGGCCAGAAGATCACTGGCGCCACAGAGCTCGTGATGTTCCAGGAGAAGAGAGGAGAAAACGCCGACAAAAATATCACGCCGAACAAAGTTTTTCTTTTCCCGATGTTCCTAAGCAAAAGAGTTCGCCGGTACGCTGCCCGCGGTGCGCGATGTTATTGTTGGGTCGAGTTTCTCCGATTCGCCTCGATCAACCGCAGCCGGCTTGATTGAAAAGGGTGCGGTTTCATGGAGGCGTTGCGGCATTAAATCGTTTTCTCGAAAGAGGACGCTTCTAAGGGAAGGGTTTGGAAATTTCACGGGTCTGACAATGATCGATGGGTTCACTATCGAAGAAGGACTCGACTTACAATGATTAAGCCTGTCGCTTCGAAGGACGTCGGCGATCGACGCGAATTTCATTTGCGAAATGTACTTCCGTGGAGCCGTTCGCAAGCTCCCCGAAAGCGACCGCTTCGATGGGGGCATGATTCATTTAGCCCACGCTCGACCAGAATAAGATTGGTGGTTCGGAGTCGAGCGGCTCCAATGCCTCGAGCCGGGCAGCTCAGGGTCCAGACTGAAGCTTAAAAATTCCATCGCCACACCCCGCGTCCGCCCTGTGATCAACAGGTGGTTCGATTCAGAACCCAGCCTGAATATAATCCGCTAGCTCCCATGGGGAATCGTGGGAGCTTCTAATCATCCGGTTGATGAGCCCATATTGCGGAACTGCAGATAGAGACACTACGTCATCGCACGGCATTTCCGGCTTGCTCCTTGAGGCATACCATTCTTGGTTTAAGGCGATCGATCCCGAATCGAGCTAGGCGGGGGAACCGCCGTCCCATCTCTAGGAGTAACGAAAAGTCGCGCTTCCATTGCATTCGTGTTTGAAGCTTCCTCGTTCCAGGGGAGATTTCATTCAGCCGATCAAGTTCTATTCGAACGTTGTTGAGCCCTCGGGAGCTCGAGCCCCGCGACGATATCGTTTAAAGATCGAATACAGTGCAAACTCGATTATATCACCCCTTCTTGTTAGATTGTGATAAACCCTTAATGCTCCAGAACAAGCTCCTCTCCAATAGTAGCCCGTCTCCAATAGAAGCCCCTCGGTGAGATTCTCGAGCCGAATAGGAGGCTGTCTCGGAAAGGAGCCCCTAAAGGGGAATCGAATCAGATTTCCAAGAAGCTCTGTTCCAGAACATACCTCGAGTTTCAAAAGTCACGGGAAGTCCAGCTTTCTGAAGTCTCTTCTTCCCGATATCACCGCCGTTGCACAACCGCGCGTAGAATCATGAGAAGCTCCCCTGAAATAGAAGCCCCTCTCAAACAGGAGCCCATCTCCAATAGAAGCTCCTCTGCGGAGGGGTTTTAAATAATAATAGAAGCCCGGGCTTGTATTGGAATATCCACGGTAATCGAGTTTGAATTGTACTTGAGTATCCTCCAGGAGATTCGAATCGCAGAGGGCGACACATAATTTTTCGGTGAAGGGGAATGAGCGCGACATCGACTGCCAGAGTAGGATAAATAGGTTTATTATTCAATCAGCTGCATCAAGTATGAATGTTTGTATGTGACATGCGGAACCTTAATGCTATCCTTATTATATGCGAAACACGGGGCCAGACACGCACCCGATCCGGCCGACTTCGCTGCGACCGGCGGTCATGCTCATGAGTGGAGGTGATGCCTCTCTACGAGCAACATCTCATCTAGCTAATAGTCAAATACTGTAAGTGCCAAGCAAGTCATGATATGAGCGTTCATCACTCCTTGGCGATTTGATAAAGGTATTTGTGATAAGGAAATCAAATATCGGCGGCGAGCCGGGCGAGAAGTGATCGTTTTTGTCTCTGTCTAATGAAAGCACGATGATACCAAAGTTAAGATAGGACAGGTCGATTATGTCCGCTGCTACACTTGCATAGTCGGCGTGATTTTTTGATGTAAATGATATATGGTGTTTTTCCTTGTTAAATAAATAAGTTAGATATACGGGGTTTCGTTAGTATTCGTGTCATTTATATTATACAGAAGGCGTCAACGTTGAATCCTCCTGTCCTTCGGTTCCATCGTCGAGGCTCTCCGGTGTGACCTCGAGCGAAGGCAAGGGACTACAGAGTCGCCGTCGTGAAAACTTGAGCTTAACTACCGTGAACTCAATGCCACAGTCTGCTTCGGCGAGTCGATGAGCACGGGAGTTCAACTTTTCCTTCTGAAGCCGGTCGCGAGCGGTTAGAATCATTCTCTCTCGGAACGCTTGCAAGCGAAACGAGATCCCGCCGTTGGCATTCCCGATGTGAAGGCAAGATTTTCAAGTTCTTTCTCAAAGTCGTAAGAGAGTCTTTTCAACTGCCCGACAAAGTTCAAACTCATAGAGTCGGTTCTTCGCTCCGGAGGGGCGAATGCCGCGGCTGGACGATGCTGCGAGCGAAGATCCGATGGGGTTCCACATTTTCTCGGTTCTAGAGACCAATGGATGTCCTGCTCCGAATTTTAGAATGATTCTGACCGCTGATCCGACGAACGACGTTTTCGGGGACAGGAATGCCAACTCCTCAAAACGAACACTCCCAGCCCCACCGAGACTTTGGGCACCTGATGGTGCGGCTGGAAATCCCGAAATTCTACTATCCGCTATACCGAGTATGATCATAACGCTTTTCCCAATGGCTCTCTTCTTCCGTCGAGATCCGAGTGCGCCAGCCATCAGGGAAACTAGCGGCTCTGTTTTAGACCAAATAACAATCACAAATATTTTTCGCATACCTGCTCGGCACAAAGATTTTTCCAGTAGTGGTTTTGCACGCAAGAATACTCTGACTAATTGCGAGCTCCGACTCGTGAATCCAGCTCGGAGCTCCGGATTCCCTGAACCTCAACTCACTCCATGGATCGAAGGGACCACAGACACCACCTTTCTGCTGCGTCCCAATCGCGGGGCGAACGTTTTTTCGGTCAATAATGCTCAGACTCAAACATCGAGTCCTCTCCGAAGCTTCTGGGATTCAGTGAAACTACTCTCGCAGCCTGCATGCTGCTTTCTTCAGGGAAGGCCGCAAGACAGAGCTCGAGAGAAAACTTTAATTGTGAGTGTTTGGTACGAGAAAACTTATATTATCGAAGTTATGTATATATCGAGGTATATAATCGAAACTGGGACTCCTCCATTCTGACGAAGCGAGCGTAGACGAGTCGCTGATATATGAAAAGAGCAAGGAACGCTCCCCCCCGTCGGGAGGGAAGGTGCTTCAGTGTACGCCTTCAACGATTGGCTTGTGGGAATAAATCATGACCGTGCTTATAGTTTTTTTCTCGCTGCTACAATAGCAGCGGCGGGAGAGGGAACCAGCGTGGTCGCTATTGCATCCTCTTGAACCCCGACTTATACCTACAACGTTCTTCTTAATTGAGAACCTAGCTTCCGATCAAGAGATATCGGCGTGCCTTGGGAACCCAGGATCTCCCCGACGATGGCGCTAAGAGCATCGCGGAGCGGCGCTCAGCATTCGCCACTCGCCGATATGTCGATACCGTGCTTCGTTCCTTCGGGGAAAATACGTGAAAATGATTTTTTCAGAGATTAAGCGGCCGGGGCTTCATGTGCATAAAATACAAGGCCTGCTCCGTTAACTCGAGCTGGTCCCGAGTTCGTCCGGCAACGACGGCTCCAAACGGTGCATTGGCGATGTTTTCCTGGGAAGCTGCGTTCAACGGTTCCAGTCTGAATCGGGAAAAAAGTTACTTCTCGAGCGTGCTGATCGTTCTGAGGGGCACATGTACGGGAGAAGGTTCCGAACAGCTCTACGATGCTCTGTAAATTGATGTCGAGAAATACCTTTTCTTGAAACGCTGAGCGTTCCAATGCACGTTCGGATCTCTTTCTGTAAGAGCGTCTTGGAGGATCTGAGGAGGGGAGAAGCGCACCGAGCTATCCTCGATCAGGCTCTTGCTTGGCGTTTCGGGGTACATGTAGTCTTCGTTGACGGGCGGAAGTTTCTCGGTCGCGAACGATTGATGCAAAGCTTTCCTCGCCTTGCGAACGGGGACATGACCGTTATTCATAGAGTTTTCTTTGTCGAGCGATACGTATACAGCCTGCGGCCCCGACACCGGTGTAATAAGATCATCCAATTCGTCTAGCGTCGGGCCCGTGTTTGTTCTCTGCTTTTCGATTTCAGCCAAGGCTTTCTTGAAAGGAGTGGGCGTCCTTGGTGTCACAGTATGGTCCCGCTTCGACGGGGTTCGTTGTTGAGTTTTCGGCGTCGAGCACAACATCGCCGACGGACTCAACGGGGCGCACAGCGAGGAATCTAGTTGATGGGTCGACGACGTCGGTGTCTGCGGATGCTTCAGGAACTGCGAGGGCGAGAAGGTGCACGTCGCCGGCTGTGAACGAAAAATATTGAAATCATTAGAATGCGCTACGATGCGAGTTCTGGACTCAGGATTAGGAGCTAGCCTCTCGCATCATCGATACGACCGCGTGGTCATTCATGCTCCAGGAGTCCTTCCTAGACCTGAGAAGAATAGAGTCAACATGAATGTCCCGATGGGAACGGCACGGAGCTTACAGTCGGCGTGTCGTATTTCACGTAACCACCCAAACGCAAGCTGACTGGTGGGTTCGGGGTCTCTCCTAATGGTCTCCGTCTCTTGAGGATCGGTGGTGTCTGCAGACATCGCTGTACATTGTCGGTCATTAAATAGCTGCCATGATCTGGACGGACAACATGTCTCCTGCGGAAAATAGGGCGGGAAGTGTAAGGGAGTGAAGGGAGCTTAGGAATTAAGTTTTTCATCTGAGGGAGAATCTTCATACAACGCATCCCTTATCCCCCAATGGAGACCCGAGGGAAACACTCACCCGTCGTAGGGCGAAACTGACTCTTGGAAATCTTCTTCCATTTCTTGAAGTTCCTCGACTCGAATATCCTTCAGCGGCGACAAGATTCTATTGATGTCCTCGTGTCTAACCGGTGACATGGTAGAGTACATTGGGACAGGCTGAGATGAACACTGTCGGTTTTCCGAGCTACTGTAGTACTCATCTTGCCACAGAGGTTGCAAGGAATCTGTCGACGATGAAGGATAGAAGGATTCTGTCGGCTCCTCTTTCACAACATTTGAAGAATCCATTAGAATCGAACTCGTCGAAGCTTGGGCGCTTTGACGTTTCTGTTTCCGCTTGCCGGACGAGCGCATGTTCTCGCCTCCTTCAACTCGTTTCTTGAGCGTTGAGTTCCAGTGGTTTTTAATGGCGTTGTCTGTTCTTCCAGGCAACATTTTCGCGATCCGAGCCCATTGATTGCCGAGTTGAGCGTGGTATTGAATGATTGCCTGTTCTTCATCTCGAGTCCAAGCGCTCTTTTTGATGTTGGGATTCAGATGGTTGTGCCACCTCTCGCGACACTGCTTTCCAATGCGACCTGAAACCCAGGGGCCCAATGAGCGAACGCAGCTGGCCGTGACGGAGGAGCACGCTATCGCCGAAACATCCTCCCTTTCGAAGATGCTCCGCTAGACATACGAGGAACGAGTCATTCATAGAAACCAGGAACAAAACATTCCCCGGTATGGATCAGCGGCTTCATTCTCTCGTGATTCCCATGGCATATGACTTCGGCGGAATACCTTTCAGATGCTTTGCGATGACGGTCCATCTCTTGGGACCGTATTTTTTCACAAGTTCTACGACTTTTTCATCTTCTTCCTTCGACCAGGAGCCTTTGACGAGCTCTGGATTCACAACTTTGTGCCATCTCTGCTGACACTGTACATCGGAACGATCGTTGAAGTGTGACGCAATCGTTGCCCAATCGCTCTGACCTGAAAGAGCGGAAGGTAGAAAGTCAAAACCCGTTTCCGAGAATCAGGGAATGTTCCATTGTTTGAACCTCCGCCGGGCCTTTCGGCGCGCCGCGTCGTCGCATCATCGACAGCAGACGCGATCAGGAGCGGTCATCAAAAAATGCAATTGGCCTCTCGTATGACTTTGTGCGCGGCGCGTTCACGGGTGGAATCCACTTGGAACTTCACTGGAAGGTCGTCGGCAATGCTCATCATCATCGGAACGATCAGAAGGCGGCAACAGGCGATGGCGGCCCCTCCGGCCATCACGACTTGGCCTCGTCGTTTGTCCGCACGTTCATCTCACTTCAAGAGACCCCTTCTACGCTACGTCGCTGCACCTGGCATGACGTCGACGACGACGAACCTAATAGTAGCTCGGCGGGCTTTAGAAAACACTGCTCGGAGTGGGGACCGCACAGAAATCAACGAAGCGCGCCAATAATCAGGGGCTTCGGCGGTCAAGGAAAACATCGCGTCCGTGCGTATCTACTCAACAATGGAAGGAGGAGAAGCTGTTCACATGGCGAGCTCTAGACGCTTTTTTCCGAGAAAATTAATGCTCGCCTTGATTTGTGAATCCCCAGCATATCCTTCAGGTCATCGGTGGAATTTTGTCACGGTTTCGTGGCCTCCTTCCCGACTTCCGGGCGGATCCCCGACCTTGCTGTCCGCCGAAAACCTCCGAAGAGGGGTTCTCCGGTGACCTCTCTAGCAATAGATGGTGAAGTTTCCTCGCTCGATTGTCTCCTCCAAAAATTTCGGAGGCAGACCTCTACTCCCATCTTTCTCGATTCCCCGCACCATGTAGCAAAGTCGAGAGCGCGCGATAATAATCGCGACAGCAGCACATATGTTGATAGTGTTTCTGAAATTCCAGCCGTCTGTTCCCATGCTCGTTCCCATGGCATGACGACTGAGTCGCGGCGGTGGCTGCTGCGGCCGCCGCCGCTCGATGATCCCTCGAAGCACAAGCCCCCTTCAGCAGCGGATCACGGGAACTCACTCGCTCACATAGCAGGCTGCAGCCACACACTATCCGAGTGAGCGTGTGAGAGAGCGAGCCAGCAACCAGGCTGGCAGCAGCCATCAACCAGGCTAGCAACCATCTGCCGTACAGCATAGGGAAGCACGAGCAGCACACACAAGCACACAAATTCACATCGCTCCATCGTCTGTAGCGTTGGGGCAATGCCTTCTGGTTGGTCGACTCGATGGATGGATGGCTCTCTTGCTTTCTCGCCAAATTCGAGACAGATCAGAGACAATACATTCGCTCGCGGCCCGCCCCTGAGAATAGCCGGACCCCCGGTCGACAATGGTCTCCGATCCAAAAAAGTGTGATTAGATGATCCATCCGTACTCATCGGGGGACAGTGGTTAAAAAACAGGAATTCCGTACAGGACCCGAGAGGCATGCCCAGAACAGCATGGGTCGCGAAATACTCGATGCTTCGGAACCTCTTGAGAAATCCAAGATCCAAGAATTAAAAAAAACGGCGAACGCCCGTGGAAAGAAGCGAGCTGCAGGGCATGGGAGGAAATTTGTCGATCCGGCTGCGAACCTCGGCCCCGGACATCTTCCGCGAGGACACATCCGAATATTCTTAATAATTATTGAACTATCCCGTTTCTCGTGAATGAAGGAAAACTCAAACAGCCAAGCGACCGAGTAGTCGTAGGGAAAGCTCGAATAGACCGAGAATGGATCCCCAATCGATCCACCCGGAGGAACCGGGTTGCTCCGAGACGGTTTATTTATGTTTTCGCGTGGGAAAAGCTCTCACGGTTGCATCTCTCTCTTATACTCGGCCTGAAGCATCTCAGAAGAAGGAATATTTAATTTTCGCCGGCTCTGAGCAGTGAAGACATCTGCTGCTTGAATCAACAGCGATGTTGATGCTGCCGATTGATGGTAAGGACACAAACAGCGAACGCGAATCCTTTCGATGCTCGACGATATTCCAGGCGGAACCGAAATTCACCCCAACGGACATCGCTTCTTCTATAGAGGCAATTTACATCAATCACAGTGCTGTTTGATAATCGGACCCTGTCCTTGGGCCTCACACACGAAGCGACAGCATAATGGGCCATCACCGAGGGAAGCCCAACCCCCTTGTCAAGGTTGCCATTTTGGCGGCAAGATTCCCGCGCAAACGCCGCCGCTCGGGATCTTCATTCTGCGTATAGTTCCTCAGGCTTCCGTAAATGAATAGAATTATTGCAAAAAACACACATCGCACGCGGTAGGTTCAGGCTAGGCTTGGGATCCCACGGCAACAGCATATGGCGAAGTGCGAGGCCCCAAGCTAGATTGAAAGCCGTGTATTCATGTTACATTGGAAACCACAGTTCGCGGACTCGGACAGCTTCCCGATTCATGCATGTACAAGGCTTGGAAGTCCTAGATGAACTCACCGATCGTCTGAACTAGATGCTTGAGGAGCTCGTCTTCTTCTTTGGTCCACCGGAACGAGTTCTTGCTTTTGTTCAACGACACATTTCTACCGTCCTCGAAACTGCTGTCCTCGAAGTCGTCCATGATCAAGGAGGACAGCCTATTCGCACAATCGGACGAAACTCAAAACTATGTCTTTTTTCCACATGGACTGCTAGTTGTTGCGCACGATCGGCCGTCGAAGGCCTAATCCAGCAAGCCGACTCGCGCCATTTCAAACGAGCTAAGGAAGTCTGCTCCGCGTCGCGATACAAAAACTTATGATGGCCGCCTTACCCAAGCATCGGCAGAGAGTGGATCGGTTGGGCCCCCTCGTCGCCAAGCCCGGCGGAGAGGATCGACGACCGAAATGGAACCTTCTCAAACACTGAACGCGGAATCGGTGTCGGATGGAATTTCCACACTTGTTGTGCAAATTCTGCACTGACGAACATCACTTCGCACATGCGGGAAAAGGAAAAATCATATCCGAGACATTTAGCTCTCGCAGCGTCGATATCCTAGTATTGATGAGTATCTGAATCCTAACTGAATAAGATGAATATGCTTGTCATGGATTCGATTGCCGGTCCGAGCCATAATCATGAAATTGCATTGAGCCCCGGAGTCTTTGAGGACCTCGATACATCGGCGCGGCGTGATTCGCGCCACCCGCTCGCCACCATCGCTCCAGTCACGAGAGTGAGAACAACTAGATCCTAGTGCACAGCTGTCTCGCCCATGTTCAGATCGATCCGTAAATCAGTCCTGTACTATCGAAGCTCAAGATATCCTGATTTTCCCTTTCCGATAAACACCTGTGATTGTCCGGCTCCATGCGTCGGAATATACTAACTCTGTATTCGAAGGAAGTTTCCCTCGTCCCCCAACGGTCGAAATCCAATGCGGCTGCTACCTGCTGCGAAGTTTTAATCCAATCAGGAATCCGAACGAATATGAGCACACTAATGGGTAGAGGTCTCTGGAGCTAATTTTTCTGGTAGCCCTCCCGCGGAGCTTACCGCGATCATTCCAGAGAGGAGGGTGTTTTTCATTTATTGCGATCGCGAGAGACTATCGAAAATTCGGAGGGAAAATCGCATCTAGAAAGCGGAGCTTGCTGACTCAGAGGCTCCGTGAGGCATCGTCACGACCATTCTCTGGCTCATCGGTCGCCTATCGCTTCCCTCCATTCACGCGGAGCAGGTTTTCCCGGCACGCTACCGGAGTGTTCCGAAAGAATCCGTCTTGCCTCTAAAATACAGAGAACGAGTCGAGTCTAAGCCTTGGCCGCTCACATCTCCTAGGAGGGACCCGAGCGTGAAAAACCGAATGCTTCTTATTTGAGTGGATTCAGGGGTGTGCGTTCGCGACAGCGAGTTTTCCCGGAACGCATTGTCCATGGACTTACTCCTGACTTGCGGGCTGGCCGTCCCTATCGAGAGCAGAGCGAGCATTCGAGTATTTCTCGGATCGAGGAGAATCCACCATGAGGGTGCGCTCGGGGATCTTCGGAGCCTTGCTCTCATGAAGATATGGAACAATGATGAGAAGAGGGTCTTTCTCAGATTTTCCCGGTCGGGAGCGCGAATCAAGGCGAGACGTCATGCTCGCAACGAGCTATTGAGAACTCGGGGGCATGGGGAACAGGTCGATATGCAACCGGCTCAAGTAGGTCTCATTCTCCGATACAGTTAGTCATTCGGTCGAATTCTCGGAGACCGAGCCGCCAAGTCATTTCGGAACTTTTGGGTACTCTGATCGTCTGCAGCCCGAATCAAGCCTCGATTCTTTGCAGGTAATCTTTTCTGTCCCGATCAGACCTGCGCGTAGGCACGATGTCTGATGTCTGCTGGAGCTCATACCCTGAGCAGGGACCACCTAGAAAACTATCTGATTTTGATCGTTCGTCTAGCGCCTTTCTCCGTTCGTCATCCCCCCAAGTTCAGTCCGTGGTGAAATTGCATTTCGATTCTCGTTGAGGGAAGTTGCCGCCACCGCGCGCCAAGTCAGCTGCTGGAGAGCAGACGACAGCAACGGATCAAAATATTCTATATGGTGGGTTGGAGCGGCTTTCAGATCACCGAAAGCCGAAAGTCTGGTGCCTCCACCTGCCATACGAAGGCAGGGCTTCATGGTCACCTGACTGATAGAGGAACAACAAGGTAAACTCAAGTCCTCTCCGGAGAACTTCATCGGGTAGGGGCGTGGGATCTACTCTGTGCAACCTCCGAACAAACGTCGTCAATTCCGTGAGACGCTCAGGTGGCTTCAGATAGAACTCTTGGATTCTTCTCCTTGAGGATCTTTGCGGACGTGGATGAATTCGAAGTCAGTACTTCCGGAATAGTCAACTCCCAATGAAAGACGGTGCCCGACAGAATGACACTTCCGGAAGGAAACACGTCTGCAGCCTCTCCTTTCCCCACCTGGGCTCGCAATCAATGTGCTCGCGGATGCACGAAATGCCTGATTGAGATCTCAACGTCTCCTCAGTGAGGGAACATCGTGAAAATTCCATGTTTTCAGATGAGGTCGCCGGTCGAGCTCCAGAAAGAGCTGGTTTGCATCGATGTCGAGCTAAAATCCCTGATACGAGAAATCCTTTCTTGCGGAGATCTTGATGGAGTTTCGAGGAAGAATCGTGAGGCTTCGGATGCTATGCACAAAATGAATCGAATGATCCGGGAGATCGGGAACCTCGCGGAAGCGGCTCCGAGAGTCAACCGAGAGGAGATGATGAGTCTCGTCGACACGTACCGCAAAGTCCAACTCGACAATCAGGTGCGTCAGCGAGACCTCTTGATTTATCTTTGCCGGCATGATCGACACTAATATTCAGCGAGTTTTCTTCTCGCAGTCAGCTCTTCGGAGGGCCAACGTCACCGCGCAGAAAGCACTGGACAACAAACAGAGATCTGAGCTGTTTCACACCGACGCGATTCCCGGCCGAGAGGACGGCATCAGGAAGCGGGGAAAAATGGAGAGCGAGGTCCTTGTCCGGAGCTCCGGTAGTGTCAATGCCAACCTTCTCACGATATCTCGCATCATGAGCGACCAGGTAGATCCTTCGGGCTTCTAGAGCCGGAACTACTATTTCATGCTCGGAACAGGTTCCTGAGAGGTTCTTCAACTCATCCGCTGATTTCCCTCCTCAGGTCCAGTCATCGAACACAGCCCTGAGTCAGCTCGAGGAGACGTCTTCGAGGATCGTCGAGAACTGCGAAGAAGCCAAGAGCATGGGAAATGTCATACACCAATCTTCGAAGTTGCTGACTAAATACGACCGCAGAGAAACCACGGACAAGATCTTGATATTTTTCAGTTTCTTGTTTTTTTACGCTTGTGTTTTCTATGTTATCAAGAAACGAGCGGGTATCCCTTTCTCGTGGGTTTGGAGTTGGCTCTTCTGAACTGCCAGGCCCCGTTCATGTGATCTCTCGCTCATGTAAATAAAACTTCTCAGCGTCCGCGCGGATCTCTCTTATTTGTTCATCCAAAGCGTAGGGCCGGCGTCGGTATTCAGCAGGCTGTCCTGAAGGATGATGAGGAACGGGAAGAGGCATATCCCGGAAGGCAGACCTGAAATAATTGGACCGGTGGGCAAGGTCTGTTGTTGGCGGGCGTCCTCCGCATCCGAGCAGGGCGACATGGGACGAATAATTTCTGGAGCCGGGGTCGCAACGCTGGTTCATTGCGAGCGGGTGTCCTCCAAATACGGCTCCAGTACAATGAGGTTTCATTGTATGTCAGGATCTGTCCCTGATCACGGCTCTTTCAGTTTTCCGAACGTATGCTCCCACTCTGTCTCGCGGTGAATCAGGGCAAGGCGGGGACGAGGCGCGTACCCCCTCCTCCGAGCGATCGTACTCCGATTGAGCAGGACAATCCTTTCTCGCAGACGAGCTGTAAGAGCCGCTTCACGGCCGCCTCCAACCGTCCATTCAATCAATTGGGAACAGCCCGCTAGATCAGCTCAATACGGAACAGCCTGGCGTCCGGAATTACTCGTGAGACTCTCCGGTTGTGCACCGCCCTCAATAGTGGAGAATCTAATCAGGGAGACTCTGACTGCGCGTGGCCGAACGAAATCGACGGCCAGCGTGGCGTCCCCATACGTAGCCAGCTCCTCTATACGGACTCCGAGAAGCGAGCTCCTGGGCCGAGACCATAAGACCACAATTTGTGCATAGAGCTTTCAGAAACACGAGAATCACGCCATGTAGCTGTTTTTTCGAGGACCCAGTTTTGAAACTTGTGTGGATCTTTTTGCGAGCGCAGGTTGTTTCCCATCGGCAGGGCTTCGGCGGAATGCTCTCATCAAAAACAGTGGCAGATGCAACCCCGGACTTCACGGGCCGCTACTCATCCGCGGCGAGCATTTCACCTGTCCCCGATCAACGTAGCGCATTGAAAGCGGAACTCCCACCTCAAATGTCGGTGAGAATCCTTTAGCAGTGTGCTCGCCGAGCCACCATGCTTCAGGTTTAGACTACGGGTTTAATTAGTTAGCTTTCCTTGTTACCTACTGCTCCTGAGACGGAGGGCTATGAAATATCAGGGATGGCAGGCGGAGCTCTCGGATCGCCGATCAGCCATGTTAATTTCGACGGGGATTTGAGTCCCCCGTTCGCCGATCGAACGCCGAGGAAGCGAATCGACAAAGACAAAACTCTGAATTCACTCCCATCCTTGAGTTTGCCGCGACGCTCACTTCCCGAGAACGACCTCGAAGCAGAACAGTGATAAGCGCAGAAGGGACCTTAGGAACACGTTCCACTCACGCGTATCGGAGCTATCGCTCCTGCCCTTTGAATTCAGGACGAAGAAACGAACGAGTCCACCGGCTGATATGATTATTCTGCCTGTTTTCGCCAATCACCGCTCTATCGAGCTCATTTGTGCTCCCAGCGAGGCCTCACGCACGCGACGGTCACTCGTCAGGCTCACAGAGCAGCCTTTTTGATTGAGTGCGCGGTCGTTCCTTTCTTTCTCCTCCGGCTGAAGGACGAGGACATGGAATCGCGACATTATAATCGGAACTCGATGATCGGCTCTTCGTGGGGGAGCCTGAGTAACTCCGTCCCTACCTCAACCACGTGCATAATAGTAAGGTAGAGATACTTGATTTGGCTTATTTGCTTTTCAGACGGATCATCAAATCGGTGCCAACCGCCACGAACTTGAGCGCGTAATGAGAGGCTATGACTCCATGCCGTTGTTGGCTCAGTTGCGGAAGACACGCCACGTGATTGCCATCAACTTTTCGTCGCAACGCGGTCAACATGTTGGCGTCCTTTTCGGAGTGTAATTCCACTTCAGTGTGTTCAGTCCGCAATACCGTCGAGTGAGAAGATCGTCCGCCTCGATGGGCGCTCTGCGCTGATCAACCGGCGTTCCCGCGTGTCCAGCTCTCTATGAAGTGTTGTTGCGCCATTTCAATCGTGGAAACTACAGCGCCAAGAATATTTCATGCGGGGATGAGTGCCGGCAGCCGGCTCGTTGACACGAGAACTCGAGAACCGTGAAGACGACTTCTGTTCAGCACAATAAACTCCCGCTCCTTGAGGGATTCCTGCCTCCCATTCGTTCGCCATCCGGTCAGAAATCGCATCTCACCCGTCGGGGAGAAATCAACTATTCCCGTGTCTAAACAGGACATGCAGATCAGCGTGAACATTCTGCGTTGAGTCGAAGCTGTGATCAGGCAAGTCCGTCGTCACTTTCTTGCTTAGCTTCGCAGACGCGAAGTTACCGGTCGATTGGTGCTGTTCTCCGAAGAATTCCGTCGCTCTTGAAGCTCCTCGACATTCCTGATGGGTGTTCGACTCATGACTCTCGCTCCTGATGCCACTTTCAGGTATCGAAGGAAGATCGAAAAATCCCAATCGAGATACTCATGCTGCTCCCGGCAGCGACGGGAGGTACGAGGCGCTATCTTCATTACATTTCTGTGATTTGTTTCGGTCGACTAGAGCATGGTAACAGCTGCTAATCGCATTCCGAAAGGGATCGATAAGAAGGTCGCGATCGTCTACGAGCTCTCACGGCGCAGACGCCCGCACATTCGTGGCGGCCCGAGTGCCCTTTTTCACGAGGTCCGTTCGAGTTCGAGCAATCGCCGAGAGATGACTTCTGTCGAATTTCAGCTTGGTCGGATCCATGAGTATCAACAGAGAGATCAGGCTCTGATCTGTTTATCGTGGTGACAACGCCAAGTGGAGCCGATCGGATTCTGGTTTCGCGTGCTCCCCTACCCGGACCAACCTACGCCCGTCATGTGCCGATGAGATCACGGGCGAGAAAACTTCCAAGCAAACCAGAGGCGCAGTCATTCGGAAGTCTCTGCATGAGCATGAGCCCGTGATCGGGTCCCTTGGTGTCCGATGTTTCTCCTCCGCTGGAGGGACATGCGAATATGGTTTCTGGTTGCCCGAAGAGGACCAGAAGATTCTTAATCGTCGTCATTCTCGGAGTTCCACTCTTGTTCCTATGCCTTCATTCAACGAGCTTCACGAGGTGAGTTACGAGCCTCGTCGATAATCCGATCACGTGCCGATCAATGCCACGTTGATCGAATCGGGCTACTGGATCCCACGACCCGTTAATCCGGAATGACCGCTGGGCCTGGAGACTTTTCCCCGAGTGTGAAAACTCGATGTTCCTCATAAATTGGGCTCAGCGGGAATCATTTCATCACACCAGATCTACAATGTTTTCGAGATCTCTCCGGTTTCAGCTCGTCCGATGACGAGACAAGCGTCGACACGGAAGACTTCGAGTTGGAGCTCGTTGAAGCCGAACCTATTTGCTATCCGTCGCACAATGTCTTCTTTTTCAAAACCCACAAAACTGGCAGTTCTACTCTGTTCAATATTTTTATGAGATACGCCGACGAGAAAAATCTCACGGTGGCCGTGAGCCGCGAGCCCAGCAATTTGCTGCGCTATCCGGCCATCCTGGATGCGAATTTTCTGCCTGATTACGCGCTGTGAGTCGGAGATCGATCCCATCACTAGCCAGATCGAGCACGATCGTGCACAAAACCTCTGCACGCGTGCGGTCACGCAGGGCGTAGCCGCTTTCTAAGCAACACTGAATTTTCGGGACGTTTCAGAATAAATCGTCGCGTGGAAATCTTCGCAATTCACACTCGACTGGATATTCAGGCAGCTAAGAAATTGATGGCCCCCCGCACAAAGTTCATAACGATTCTCAGAGATCCCGTCTACTCATGGTCGAGTGGCTTCAATTACTTCAACTTGCCCGCTGTGACTGGCATGTCTCTCGAGGATTTCCTCGACGATGGATACGCGATCGATAAAATGAAGAGGCGGAAATTTTCGCCTTGGTTCGGCTTCAACTTCCTCTTCTATGATTTGGGGTTCAACGAAACAGTGAGTTCTGGCGTCGCAACGATCGTACTTTTGATCAGGAATTCAGGAGGCCCACTGCCTCGACTCCTTGCATGACCTTTGGAATCGCCGATTTTCCTCATGCCCGAGTTTACATGATCGACAGCTCACCGCAGCGCCAGCTGCCCAAGCTCAGAGGGCCATCGACATGTTGGAGAGAAACTTCGGTCATGTTATGATTGCTGAGCTCATGGACGAGTCCCTGATTCTCATGCAGCATGCCCTCTGTTGGGATCTCGAGGACATTATAGCCTTTCGGTATGTCAGCCCAAATGAAGACGGTTCTCTGCTCCGATGATCCTTCAGAGATTTCCCCATGACTCTATGGGAGGCTATGAAAAATCATCTCTTGTGTCTCTCACAGCCATAACGAAAGGAATTCGTCGATTTACCCTCGGGACCTTGAGCCGAAGCTCATATACAAGATCGCCGATCTCAACGACATCGACGTTCGGTACGGAATTTCCATCTTGCTCCTTCGAAGCACCGTGGGCTCATGCTGACGAGAGCGTTTTGCAGGATATACAACCATTTCGCTGAAAAACTCCGGGGCATGATCGACGAATTTGGGACTGAGAGAATGGCGAAAGAGGTGGGCACGCTCCGATTGCGGAGAGATCGATGGCTCCGCGAATGTTTGGGCGGATATCGCCATGGTTTCCAGAACACTTTGGTCTTCCTTCCGAAAGATAACGGTGAGCGTGACTAACGAATACCGAGCTGGTATACGTTTATGAGGGTTAACATCAAGAGGCCGCGATCGTTCCGCTCCTGAGATACAATATTAATTGATTATTCCAGCTTCGGCTAAATGCCTGCGTCTGACTCGGACTGAACTCGAGTATGTCATGTATTTTAGAGAATTGTATATGAATGAGTTGGATCGTCTTCAGCAAAGCCGTGAATAACTTCGTGACACGAGAGAGAAGGTTTCCGGCGGAATAATTGTGGGGCCCAATCGGGAATCAGACAGGTGATGGATAGAGTGAACCTCCGAGTCCAAAATGGTGTGAGATCGAATTCTCACGGTTGAAATATAAGGCCAATTATGTTTTTGTTCGAATTTTTCTTTATTAACGATGGTCAGCTTCGTCCGCATCCGATACTCTCGGGTTCATTTTTTACAAAGAAATAATTCATCCCAGCACAGGTCAGACGACAAACTATATATCGATTACATCGCGGTTAATGGAGTTACGATGAGGTTGCTCTTGATGATTCGGGAATTGTAATTATCCGACCGATCGATCCTGTGGGGCAAGCTGCTCCAGTTTCTTCTTTCTCGATCGGGATCATTTGCACTATGCGATGAAGTTTACAGATGACGCTTGGCACAAGCGGGGAGTATTGCAGCTTGCAAAAAATGAGGAAGTCGTGTGGGGGACTCATGTGCTTGAACCCGATGACTCGTTAGGCCAGCCAGGATTTTCAAGCGGATGATGCTCTATTTAAAATACTTTCTAGACCGAAGTCCGCCCCAATAGTCAGACATTTTCGATCAGCGATGCTGAAGGCGAGCTGAGATATTGCCAACTACGGATAACAGGTGCGGAAATAATTTAGCTCGCCTACTTTCGAGCGCTTGCTTCAACAGGATTTCCTATGACATTGAGGTTGTGTACAATTCATTGAGCAACGCATACCACGGTCTCGTTCCCGGATTCGAGCCGCATTCTAGAGTCGGGACAAGAAGGGACCTTATCAGATTTCTCCATCTCCATTCAGTGTTCTCCTGAATTTTTGACGTCTCGCAATAGATTCCCAGGGTAGCTCCGTCGTTGTCCTCGACTAAAGCGGGTGATTGTGACTGAACGAGGTCTAGTACTGACCATCTCGCCATATGCTTGAGAATTCTGATGGCTTCAGGGTTTTTAGTAGAGGAGCATTATTTACGACATTTTCTGTTTGCTGCTCGGTCGAATTTGGTCAGCGAAACAATGGCTATGGACACGATGATGAAAAACACTTGCATTCCGAGAGGGATTAGAATGGAGTGTAGGAGCGAAGACGCTTCCGTGTAGAACAGTCCCACGGCGTGCCGATCACCAGACCAACCACAGTCGGCTTTCACCTGAATTAAAGAACGAATTTGAGAAAATCACCGTTCCACCCCGAGAGATCTGGTAGTGCGATCGGGTCGAGCTTAACCTGTATTCCGTTTTCTTGGAGAACGACGGGATTGCGTGGACATTCATAATTGTGCCTCTTCGAGGAAAATTCGTGGTACGACATCTCCTGCATGACCCATTTGAGCGGCGAGAACGAACTGCAAGGAAAAGAGTACATTTTGGGTCGATCCACGAGGTCTGATGTCATCATTGATAGAGTATGTGTCGCCTAGATAGGAGCGGCCTCATCGAACACCGAACTAACCGAAGCCATTGCGTCATGAAGCTGAGCTCGTTGAGATGAACGACGAATCCTCCAGAGAAAATGAAGACGGAGACGATGAATGCGGTAAACATGGCGGCAACGTGTCGACGTGAAAATAGGAAGGAAGTACAGAGGGCGATCGATCGGAGAAGCGATAGATAGAGCAGCATGAAGCCCAGGTACGGCAAGAAATTAGAGATGTGTTCCTGAGACGGTATGCCGGCCATGGAATAGGCGGGAAATACGTATGCGCACATTATAGACAGCGACATCGGTATGGAGTATGTCACCTGCGAACGGCATAGGTTAGGACCACTTTCTGCTACTGGGTCATTACGCCGGATAAGGGGGGGAGAGCGGGCATTGCTCAAGGGAATAAATGAAATTCTCGGAACCCTACTGAGCTTCCGACAGAAAGCGCGCCCCCTGATTCGGAACCGGGACCTCGATCCCGCAATGCTGGGGCGACTTTTTCGCGGGCTCTCATCAACAGAATGTCTCGAGACTGGGGAAAGTTTCCTAGAGAAATGGGCAAGACTGGGCTACTCGGTCAAGTGACACCAGTCGATCGGTTCCGGTCGATGAATCTCACCTTTGCGGCGACATACGCAAATCCTCCGTAGAGTTTTTCGTGCATATCTTTGCATACGAAAGCTTTTTCTCGCCACACTGAAAGTTCCCGAGAAGTTAGAGCATGGCAGAAAAAAAATGGTGGAACTAACTTTTCTGGTCATAAGTTCAAAAAGCTGTTCTCGCTACTTTGTCACTCACCATCGCTTATCATGTTCAGAAGTATGGGCCAAATGCACAGAGCGAGCAACGTGTGGTAAAAACCGTATCGGTCCGACACATGCTCTTGCTCGCGGCCCGCGCGCACGTTCCAGAAGATGAACCCGATGATGACACTCATTAGAGCAGCCAACATGAGGTCTCGGAAAAAATGGACAACGTTGTATGGGAAAGTGTAGATCATGCCCCGAATCCACAGAGCGAGGCTCTGACCGAAGAAACCGGCTCTGCGGACCCCGTGAGGAGTGATGCCCGGCGGTCCTGGATCGCTGAGAGCGGGATGATCGTCGTTCCTTCGACGATAGAGCTCGACGAGATTTTCAACACGTTGACTAGACTCCAGCATCGCCTCGGCCGAGAGATTGTCCAGTGTGACCAAGTCCAAATAGTAGTCGGACGGGTTCTTGTAAGGAGGACAGGGGAAATCTATGTAGGCAAAGTAGTCGAGGAGCTCGCGGCGGCGTCCGAAGTAAACCATCCGACCGGTTGAGATGATGGCGATTCGGGACATCATCGAGAATATCTCGAAGGTCGGCGGATGGACCGTCATGATGACGATTCGCCCTCGGGATGCCCATTGCCGAAGATAATCGATCAGGAAGAACGAATCGAGGATATCCATGCCCTGGATTGGCTGATCCAGTAGAACGATATCGGTATCGAGCAGCAATTGAGTCGCCACGTTCAGTCTTCTCTTCTCGCTCTCGGTCAGATCCGCGATTCTCGTGTGACGCAACTGACCCAGACCCAAATCTTCCAGAAGAGCATTAATTCGTTCCTTCGTATCTCTGATCGGACCTCCGGGCTCTTGAACTAGACTAGTGAATAGCATCCATTGACGAACGGACATGTCAGGGCATAGCTCGAAATCCCTGCCCACGTAACCGACGAAGTTCTGGAGACGGTCCGCTTCCATCGGGATTCCGTTGTAGAGGAACTCGCCACGGACCTTGTCTCCCCATTTTTTCTCGACACGGTTGCCGAGAATGTCCAGGAGGGTTGTACCCTCGTTGTCTGAAGTTGCAACCAGGGCTAGAATTTCACCTCCCCGAACCTCGAAAGATAGTCCCTCGAGCAGAAGCAATTTCGTTCTGGCCCGTCCGCAGAGTTTTTGTCCCCACGACGAGCGATCCACCTCGAATGTCAGCCCGCGCACTTGAAGATGGGGATGTTTCAGCGATCCGATTTCGTCATCAGGACCACCTGGCAGTGAGTTGTAGAACGAGTCCCGGTTGAATGGAAGTTTGTTCAGGTGGTGGGAACTCGCCGACATATGGGAGAGAGCGCTCCGGCGACCCTAAAACAAAACCCGGCCAATCAACGCCTGAGCGAGGAACCGATCACGGCGCTCGATCGCGGGGCAGTGCGATTCGTCCTCGCGCTGAGAACATTTTGTCACTCGTGTTCAGTCGGTTGAAGACCATATAGGTGTCGATTGGTAAGTACTCATCGGGAAAGGGTATTCTGAACTCACATCGGGCACGTTGTGGATTCCGTTGGCTGCGCCGTTCGCTTTCGGAGCTCGCGGGAAAATGTCCCATCTTGACGAGCGGTGGCTCTGGCTGTCCTCTTGGATCAGGTCCGCCTCGCTGCCAGATCGATGCGGCGTTCTTTGACCTGTGAAATAGACGGTCGATGTTTCAGCGGGGAGCTGTTCGGAAAAAGTCGTCATTCTCGCCAGCAAATCAGCGCCAACACCACAGCCAATATCACCGCCAACACCACGATGTAAGCACGACTATCACCGCGTGAGATTGGAGTCCCAAGAACCTGCGGCGCTGTTCGGTAGCACCGATGAAACAAAAGACTCGCGAGCAAATGGCAAAATGGAGCTTCCGACAGACGAGGGCTTGTCACGAGATTTGCATTCGGAGGAGCGCAACCGAGAGAAAAACTCTCCGTCATCCCGTGCGAGAATGAATTCTTTGTGAGAAAAGCGAATAATTTTGCGTCGCCATTGAATCGGTGGCGAATATATTGAGCATCGAAGAAGTCAAACGTTTCTGAGTCCTCAACTTTGACGGCGAGCCGATACGTCGCTTCGCTCGCAATCGGCAGCCGAGTGTCAGAAATGGGATTGTCACGGCCGGAGAAATTTTCTGTGGAGACTATTTCCTCCGAGGTGACTGGTCGAAGATCCAGCTTCCTGTGAGATGCTCCGGATTGATTACATTGTGATGTAAATCGACTGGAAACTCCGCTTCGAGATTTCGGAGGAACAATGCCGAAGTGAGTTCGGCGACGGAAGAGATAAAAATGATAGATCAGGTGCGATTCGGTGCCGTCGTTGTGTTCCCTCATGGAAAAAATCACCGCTTGTACAGGAACCCAAACGAGAACGCCGATGCCCGGAATACACAATGACTTCTGGGACCTTTGAGAGGAGAAGAAAGAGAGGGTGGAACCACATGAACCGCCTTCAGAGAAAGTGTCGGCTTGTTGCAGAGGAAGTGCGCGCGCTCCGAGAGAGCGAGTTTGTGGAGGGAGAGGGGAAGAGAGGAGAAGGAGTTCCCGGGAACCCCTCCGCTCGGCTTACCGTAGCCATAAACGTGGCTCTCTGTTCTGATGTTAGGCTCTTGTCTCACTTGATGATGCGGAAGATAATGATATCTACCTCGGGATTCTTGGCACAGCTGCTGAGTAGACTGATGGTGTTGAGGAGTCGCTTGGATCGGGGGAGGGGGAGCTAATTGTGGATGCGAATCTCCCGCAGGTGGTTTCCTTAGACCGTCGTCTGAACTGTCGTAGCCCGAAGACGTGTCTGAAAAGAAGATTTTTCAATTTTCGGCGCGGCTCGGAGTGCTTCGACTCAAGGATAATTGGAGAGCCCGGTAAGATCTGTGTTTCATTCACGCAGAATCGGGATGGATTGAACGAATTGGTAGTTTCTGACCCAACACGCTCGGTGTCAGCACTCGTTTCGAGCTCCCGTCAGGAGCGGTGAGAGAACTCCCCGGGGCAACGACACCGGCGAGTCAGTCGAACATTTTTGTTTTTTTCTGCCGTCCTCCCCTGGTGTCTTCTTCTCTGCGAGCAAGCGAGTGCGTGTGTGTGGCGACGGGCACACCAGGCAGTCAGTCAACCGATGGGCTGGTTGGTCTTTTGTTCTGAGGGAAGAGCGAGCAAGGTCTGACCATGTGCTCGTCTACACGAAGAGGACGAAAGCAAACCAGAAACCGCACTCACAAGTCACGAGTGGAATACGTAACGAAATGATGGAAGCCTACTGGAACTCGCTACTATTCAAGTCACGAAAACGCTCGTCACTAAACAGTTGAGTGCGGAATTCACGGAGGAAATTCTGTTCTTGGAATGCGCCGAGCTTTCAATAATTTTCAGCGCGGTCAATGTCCGAAAGGATATCGACAACCCCGATCTGATTCCGGTGTCCCGGTTCTCAAGAAGCGAAAATTAGTATTCTGAACCACAAGGAGAGGGAATTTTATCAATGCTAATTTGACAGATTTTTTCTCCTATCTTTGTTTTGGTTTTTTGTGCAAAGTCACTCCTTATATCCGTGCTTCTCGCGTCCCCTGCCGGTTACATCCCGCTCTTGTCCACCTGTATCCCGGAACCAGATCAGCGAAAACTCACCTTTTAGGAGGTTTGCCGTGGCAGTGAACCTTCCATTGCCACCGCCGCTAGACGAACTCGAGGTATGGACCCTGGGCAGACCGAATCGCAAATACGTCTGGATGTTGGACGCAAGCTCTGAGTTGCGGTCTTTCGGTCCATATTTAGGATGATTGAGAATCGTTTGCACCGTCGATTCGCGCAGCTGGAAATTGCCTGAGAATGATACCAGATTAGTATTGGGTCGAATTCCGCTTCTGAGGGCCTGCTGACCATTGCTCGTCTGTACGTTTGAGATTAAGAGCTCCGGGGATCAGGGGGCTCCGAAAATCTTGCTTGAGCTTTCCTGCTTCCGGGAATGCGTCTTTAGATGGAAGAAACCCCGAGTTGAAATGAGGCAGAGCCTTTCGATTCATCGCTGTGGTTTCTGATGCGGACTTGTGAACATCCGTCACAGACTGCTGGAGCCGAACTAGAGCGATCGGATAATCGGAATTTCGATATCAGCATCGATTCGATATCGCTGACAAGGTTTATGGTCCCGAATTCGGGTCAACCCTATTTCTCCATGCTGGAGACATCGAATTCACCAGTCGACACCGTGCTGTTTGTTCATCTTGTGGACTGGTATTCGTAAGTGCCCTGTCAACTTTGCTTGTTAAGTCACACCTGATTTCTGACGACAATGGATTCAATCGATCAAAGCAATGTCCGCTATCCTCCTTAAGGGCGGAAAGATCTGGCTGACTGAGAGAGATCACGAATCACGACCTCGCACCGGTGCCGGCGGATCACAAGCTCGACAGATGATCGGGGATTCGCTCTATCTGCGGAGGTCTCATCGACGGACGACAAGCGGAAATGCGAGATCGCGGGTAAATTCTCCGTTCATCGAGCAGAATTCAAAGGACGTGGATGAATTGGTGCGTGTTGAAGTTCTTTTTTTGTTTTTTTCTCCTCGTGATCCCGTGCTCTTAACAACAGCTGCGGAAACTTCACGGCGGAAGACCGAATGGTTCCGAAAGGTCCGATTCCCGCTTCTGCTTCCTTAAAACATCGCGGATGATCAGAGTATCGGTCAGAGTTTGAAACCTTTTCCACCACGCGAAGGAATGATCTAGAGCTCACCGAAGGGCCGCTGTGATTTCTCAGCGGTGCCGAGCGCGGAATCCGTGAAATCCGAGTTCAGGTTCTGCCGATAGATGCTCCAGGCGTGCAAATCCTCGGTGGCCGAATTGTATCTGAAATGCCTTTGGAATATTTTGCTCATGTACATTCGCTCCTGGACAAAACAGACACCCCCCCATGTCCGTTCGCGAGGTATGATTGAGAAGATGGATTCGAGGATTTTTATTTTCTGGGTACCTCAGGTCCGGAGTAGTTGTAGTGGGAGGGACCGAGTACTGCCGGTGCCGATTAGATGGATGACTTTGATTGGCTGCCGCAGCAGGCGTTCCGTGAAGGGGATCGTGATTTTCATGTTCATTTTCCCACATGATGTCCGATGGTAGGGCCGTTGACTCCGATTCGGGCCCCGCACTAGGAGCTGCGACCTGATGAAGAAGTATCAAATAATCACTTCATGCTCCACATAAGCGCGAGTTCAGTCTGATTTCGGCGAGACTTTTGAATAATAATCGGCGCACTCGATCTCTTGGCCGGTCTGACGCTCATGAGTCGATTGATGACCGAATCGTCGACGTTTCATCACCTCTCCTGCCAACGAAAGTCACCCCTCATGCTCGTCAGGGAACATCGCTTGATTTTTCCCCGCGAGTGTGGTAAAATATCGACCTATACAATAATCGAAGATCCGATTCCGGAGATATTCGCAGAAGAATTTCGGACCGCCAAAAAACTCATCTGCATGTGTGCGCTCGAATCCAATCTACTGGAAAAGGGCGGGGATTCCGTCCAGAATTTGAGTGGATTGCAGCGCGCCTCGCCGCTTCTGGAATTCGATGAAAAGCTGGGCGCGACCAGACGTCGCGACGTTAGCTTTCTGTGCAGTCACGACGCCGGACAACCGCGATTGCTCTTCGAAATTCCGACGGAATCGAGTTCCGTGATCGCGATTCCGTCTAACACCGAACCGAGTCGAAGTACATATCATGTCAAGCTCACGGAATCGATGTACCCCATATACATACTACATGAGGCGAAAGTCGTACAGAGGAGCAGAGAGGTCTGATGGGGAACTTCAGTTGACTGTAGAATCTCTCACGCCCATTTGGAATGCACTCAGAATTTACATTGAATAGGGGAATAATGATATTCCTCCGAAGACTGGAGACTTTCCGTGTCTTCTTCGGGGAAACTCTTCTCGGCCGGGATTGAGCAAGACGTAGAATGCGATAACACTCTACAGCGAGTGATTTGAATATGTCCGGGGTGTACTGTGTTTGCGTTTTTCTCTCGTTTTCGAACAAAAGTTCCGCGCGATGTCGGACTTCTGTGTTCCACAGGACAGAAGCCCGGTGCGGAAGAAAAAAAGTTTCTCTGGCTTGATTGAAAACGGTGCGCGGAAACGAATGCAGAAAAATCGCCAGACATCCGAGCGTATATTTCCAGACTCACTTCTGAATTCAAGGCCCTCGACTAGCGCTGGACACAAATTCCCACCCTCGAGCCCCGCGGAGGGGGAAGGTTTCTGAACTAGTGTGGCATTGCCTCAGGGCACCTCGTCGAAAAACCCGAAAATCTCCGAGACTCGAGCAAGACAAGGAAGTGATAGACCCTCGCTATCCTTGTTCGTCACCCTCTGTCTGATATCGACGTCGGGCTTGGATTTTGGTGCATTGATGATCACACAGGGTAGCAAAGAATATATGTATATCAGCTGTCAGCCAATGCGGCGTGTGACGGCTGTCGATGTTTAGCGACAAAACCCGACTGTCGGCGGCAGGCCGGGACCCCATGATGCCCTACTGCGGATGCTTGTCAGAACTTGCGCTAAGCTTGACAACGTGAACCCGTTATGAAACTCGGCCCCATAACGTGAGCTGAAACCAAGAGCGCCTCCGGCATTCGTCGTGGTAATCCTCATCCTTCAAGTCAATGACCACCAGGACTCATCAGACGAGAGCTACTCTGCCAGAGCTGACTCTGAGAATTACCTAGTGGTAGAGCGAATCTTAAATATATTTGTCCGACCACGAGACGTGATCAATGCTGGAGTCTGCGTCGCGTCGCCTCGTTGAGGAGCATTTCGGTGCGGTCTGCTTTGTCCAGTGGTCATCGTTGACGGATACGAGGTTTTCTGAGTGGCCATTCGCGCGAAGGAGAGGAGGGGTAGACGATGTCTGTCGACCACGACTTTCGTATTCTGGCCTCGAGACAAGCGTCGACAGAAGGATTGTAATCAGTCTAGTCTAAGGAGATAATCGATGTGGCGGAGCTTCTTCTCGGTGGTCAAGAAATCTCACAGAGACGTGATCACCTATTCTTTGTCGGCGCACGACTGCGTGAAGAAATCTGCATTGAGGGGGTGTCGACTACAACGACGAACTTGACGCGCAAGCCGTCACACATTGAACATTCGGAATCGTCTTTTGAGAGAGAAAAAAATGACACAATGCTCGCGTCTGAGCAAACGAAACAGAAGGCACTGCGGATTTCCGATGACGACGCTATCTTCAATGAAAATCCGCTGTCCCAGCAGCCTCAGTCGTGCCAGAGCTATTGTGGAGCGAAGAATTCTGAGCAATTATTGAATTCATCCGCAGCAAACGATTAAGCATTCGACTACCGGTTCTACGAGAACAATGGACCACCACGGGTGTGTTCATAATTTATTAATCGAAGAAGTGAAAGCCACTAAGGGTCTCCGTAGGAAGGCGAACGAATACCATTTCTTTTGGCTCGGATTTGATCGCTTCCAGAGCTGGCCCCTGATCGTGCTGTATTCAATCAAGGAATCCGGGTACCAGTGGACTTTCGACTCCTCTCGCGATGATATCAGCTCCGGAGAAAACGCTGGTGAAGGTTCCAGTTCCGTTCGTTCTCAAGAGCGTATTCGCCAATCAGTTCGCAAAGGAAATCGTGGAGCACCTCATAATGAATCGGGATATCGAATTCATGAGCTAAAGCTCGGAAATCACTGCACTTCATGAAGTACTGAGAGTACCGTCAAGTTCATTGATGGAATACCCAATTGTAAGTCATATTCAAACTCGTCGGTTGGCTCCCAGGGACTCTGGGGGCACCGCGCGAGGGAGGAAACATGAGTTTCCCACAAATATTGGACGTATGATATAGAATCTGCCTGGGTGAAATGTTGCAGAGATTGCGCAGGTAAAGGATAGACCGAGGAAGACAAACCGTCGCACGTGGGATTGAGCGCGCTTGGAACGAGAAGAGCGGAGCGGACGGCACACAATGAGTTGCATAACCAGCAGCAGCGGCGGCCCACAGAGAAGAGCACACGAGTCCGAGCAAAGACGATCAAAAAAAGACGGCGACAATGAAGGCGAAGAGCACAAGAGCCGCTCAGTGGGCAGTTTTTAGCTGGAAAAACATCTCTCACTATCTTGGAGCTCTCGCCTCGCCACGGTGCCCCCACGGCATTGGGGCCGAAACAATTTCCAAAAGCTGAGCAATGGTAGGCCAAAAAAAATATGTAGGATTTAGCATCAGTCGGATCTCGACGTATCCATGAGTCGGAGCTCGATTTCTATGATGCGAATCGGGACTAATATAAGGCCCGTCACGCCGGAAATCTCAGTCGGGCACGGCGTCAGGATATCCATAGCGTCCCCGAATAAAAATTTCACAACAAATGAAACATATCAAAGAATCCATTAGAACAGTGGTTCCCAACCTTTTTCTTCCATCCCTAGGGGTTCCGCAGGGGTTCCGTAGGGGTTCCGCAGGTAGACTTTGGGGTTCCGCGCAATCCGCCACGGAACCCAAGGGTTCCGTGGAACCCCGGTTGGGAACCTCTGCATTGGAAGACCAATAACCGGTAACAATAATATCAAAATGTGCCGAGGACAGGTACGCATCGAAGCGGAATACAGAAATCGACACCGCGACTCCTCTTCACGTGCTGTAGGAGGCGAGCGGTTGGTTGGTGTATTGTCACGAGACCCATCGGCTACTTTCGCCGCGATATGGAGAATATACGTCTCCAAAGTTGCTAACATGCGGCGCGGCATGAGAGAGTTTTTCGAAGAACTGTACCCAATAAAATTTACGCACCGCTCGAGCCCTGGCCTCGCATCAGATTCTTGTTCCTCTAGGATCCTCGCCCATCGTATTCCGGGGGGTGAGGGGGGTCGGAAGAACGCCATATACTCACTGGAGATCCGCATGGGAATTTCGGGAGACTCCTGTTGGGGAGGGTTCGAACCGATCGAGAATCGCAGCGGGAATGATCGGAAGGGGGGATGCGTGGAGGAGTGAGGAAATGTTTGCCAGAAGAGACTAATGCGACGGTAAGGCAATGCGAAACTTCCTGATCTTATGGAAGATGTCGGTTATGTTCTTCTTCCCGTTTTGCCTTGCGCCTCGCCCTACAACGGGGGCTCAATTTGTTGGCAGCTAATTGCGCATCTGTTCCCTTCGGAGCTAGAACCTTACTCATTGTGAGTCGAGTCAGACAGCAAAGCAGACTTCCAGTCAGCCCCTCGGTTTGTGGATTTATTAGTCGCTTCTCTTGCCGTCGTTGGCATCTGCGGCCGACGTCGACCCAATTCGTTTCAAACGAGAGCCCTGAACCAGAATTCGGCGGAGCCGCAGGCATGCCGAGCAGCAGGAGCTCCTCTCCATGGAAAAGCGTTTCGATTAGAAGTGGTGCGGTTCTGGCGGCGCGAGTTTTCCTTCCATTCTATTCGCAGTAAAAGCCTTTGCTCCGAAACACCTAAACGGATACAGTCCACGACCAGGCGACTTTCCTCCCTTGACTATTCAGCTCAAGTCGAACTCGGGCGACCGATGAACGTAGGTCTGTCCATTTGACCCATCTGACGGCTGTCCGCTGTGTCGACCGGCTGGTATTGTTAATTTGAGGGCATCACACTGCCAGACACGGGCGGAGGGTTATAAGCGCAGCCGCGTTGGTCGGGGCAGCGTGCCGGTTACTCAACTGTTTTACTCTGGTCCACAAAGCAAGACCTTGACATCGCAAGGTCGCCTGCGAAGCCTCCGACTCTAATGAGCGGGAAAGCGTTTTCAGGCTAACGACTTCAATCACGGCAACGACAAGTTTGAAAGGATGGCTTTACAAATTAAACTTTTTTTCAAATCTCCGTGGCAACAAGGGACGTGCAATATCAAACGAAGGTGATATCGGATAATGCTAACATTATGCTAGTTGTTTCGTCGGAGTGGCGAGATTGGAGCTCTCTGGGCACCCATCGGTCGGATCGCTCTTCGCGACGACCATAAGAGTGAACCCTCCCCTCGCAATACGATTTTTCAATTTTTCAATCATCACAGCAAGGTGACGGAGATGCTTCGCCCACAGGTCCTTCCGATTCACTGACGAATCAGATTCAAAAGTGAACTTTGAGGGTCGCATCCTTTTTGGATTCCGCGCAGGGAATCGTGGATC